GTGTAACATCAGATTCAGCGCAGTCTGCAGTATGCCTGCGCTCAATGCTGCCTGAGGCCCAGGCGGGCCAGGGCCAGGGCAGCTGATTAGGCTGTGGACGATCTTGCCTTCATCCTAGTTAATCGAAATCCTGATCATTCTACATTGACCGTCGATTGAAGGCCCAACTTGCGAGTGACAGCCGTCGATTGTACCCGCCAAATTTTCGAGCATCATCAAACTGTGCAGAACAGCTTTCAAGTTGCAACTTGCAGTACGTGCTTGGCAGCTCATCTGCAAAACAAAGCCCATGCGGTCCCGATCCCGGTTCCTTGTTGCAGCGAATGCGCCTCAGCAGACATTCATACCTTTGAGGAGTCAAGCATCGTTGAAATCAAAGCAAAGCGGAGCTGCTTTAAGGTTCTGCCCTGTTTTTGCAAGCGACGGGGAAGTTTTCTGAGGACCACAAAAAGAGGACATTATCTCTGTGATCTCTGGACCCTGATAGAATTGTCAACAATCTAGGGGTTATAGTCCTTTCAAGCATCTGAAGCATTACACTGGTCGGGTTAGAGAGTGACCGAATGATTTGTGGCAAAGACGAGATCTCAGCACAAGATAAGTCATGACATAATTGTTGCCCACCCCGCTGCAGCTTCGGGCCTTGATCCTCAGAAGAAGCCTTGGATGACAATGCTGCTGAGCTCGGCCCTGTTTCTCATAACCAGCAAGTAAATCAGCACGCACACAAAACGGTTGTGTCTAAGAGTCCAGCTTCAATCACAAGGAGGCCCCTCGGCATTAAGAAAGTTTCACACACGTTGAGACGTCGTAGGCATTTGGAGCGGTTTTGACAAAAGAGGAAATGGCCACCTTTGAGCCGGGAGCCGTGCTCAAGGAGTTTCAAGACAACAACTTCAAGCTGGAAGATGCGGCAGTCGGCGATGCTTGTGAGAGATTTCGAGCCCCTTGTACTTCAACCATTGCTATCATTGCTGTGTTCTTCATTTCATTGATATATTTTATGCTCAAGCAGAATCTGTCCATGTGCTGTTCTGTCTGCATTCCCTTTTGACCATTAATGTACAATGAGTCTGGTCAATGACGGTCTACAAGGGTCTGCCCTGATGTGACCACTTTCCTCGTGTTGAATTACGCAGGTGCCAATATGGCTCAGAGCTTCGGACTCACCCCCGAGGAGCTGGTAGAAAGCTGGGAGGTCTTCTACCTGAACATGTACGTGTCAGCATCCCCTCTCAACTGGATGTCCTCTCCCTTCAAAAGCTGTGTTCTTTGATGCAAGCAACTTAGGTACTTCTGCTCAATTTTTAAATGTGAGCTCGCAGAGCTCACCTGATCAGAGTGTTTGCTTGAGCACAGTCGTCAAGCATTCCCACGCTGGCTTTTTGGACTGCAGGAAAGTGAAGACCAACAACACTGTGACCAAGGGGGCCCTTGAAAACTTTCGGAAGCATTTGGAACGTGATCGCGTGGAAGCATTCAAGAAGAAGCAACCTGCCGTCCACTTCTACACCAAGGATGATTTGGAAGAGTATCCTCACCCAAACTTACCCTGAGCCTGCATGGCATACTCGAACATCTATTTATTGCATGTGACTGCAGCCCACTTTTGCCTGTGAGCATTGATCAATCTGAATGCTACACTACTTGACAAGCATCGCAGAAGTGCATTGCTGCTGGAAGCAAACACACTTCTTCTATCCTTGACTTCCCCAATCCAGTGTTGACATGGATCAGCCTTCCACACCATGGAAATCCGGGGTCAAGCCAACAACAGGTTTGAGCCCGCAGCCTACTGGACGATCATCTGGCATCCCGACAACCCAAAAGCCGATTGCCGCAGACCCAGGTTCCCCTGTCACTCCCCTTTTTCCTGCTCCTGCGACGCCTTCCAAAACGCTCTTTCAGGCAACACCTGCCAGTGCGTTCAAACAGCGCACGAACTCGGGGGCTGTCCAGCTGATCTTTGACCAGCCACTTGAAGGGGAGAGTGCGTCTGGGATGGAGGTCGATGGGGAAGCTTCCGAGCAGCCATGTCAAATAGAGGCAGCAAGAAACTGGGCGAGTGAAAGCTATCGGTACATGTATGATCGTGTTGAAGACAAGGTGAGGCTCCTCGTATTGCTGGAGATGTGTGCACTCTTTATGCCCTTGTCTGCTATCTGTGTTCGTACTTGCGGTCCAGTGTCACTCGAACACTGAGTGGTATGATTGCTCACACGTGTTTTCATTCTACAGGATTGTTTTCGTGTTTATGCTACCACCTTGCCCTGATTGTCCTCCCTACAGTTGGTTTGCCAGGCCTTGTAAACTTTGGTTCCACTAAACCTAGCTGAGTAGACAACAAGCTGGTATGTTCAAAACGGGTAGATGGGCAGGGGCGTGTGGGCTCCAGGCTTGCCTTGTGAGGAAATGTGTTGGGCAACATGCTTCTATCAACAATCTTCCAGTCTCAAATGATCATTTGGTCCCAACCTCGAACTAGCGAAGTGCGCGAGGTTCATTATATTGCGACCACCTTGGTGCAATCAATACGTCTGAAAAATCTAAGCACACTCACTGCAGGCAAACGCACTAGAAAAGCGTCTACTTGCCTTTGGCGCCGCACTGGCCAGAGCTGAAGACTGCAGCACATCCCATCAGGTTTATGCGGCAAGCCAGGTGAGGTCGTGCAATCTAGGTAGAAAGTTGAAGATGCGCACGGGCAAATGCCTCCGTTTTGCTGAGGTGCTGGCTGCCTGTTCCATCGGCTGCCAAATAACATATATGACTGTAGGATAGTCGATCATTTAGGGTCTCAAACACTTCATTTACTTGACAGGACACAGTAACGGTTGTTGGACGAATCTGCTGCGACACAGAGGGAGGCCGCATAAACGAGCACTCTGTTCTCTTAGAAGGGAGGTGAGTTGTCGAGAGAAAGACCAACCTTGGTCACAAACACTGCTGCGACGGAGATGCGACTCGACATTTTGAGTTCAAGTCCTATGCCTGGCTTTGCGTTGCCATTTGTCAGCTTTTGTAGAAACTGAGCAACACCTTGTTCCTTTGTGCAGCCAGGAGCACTCAAATGGGGAGCGAGTCAAACTGGACCTGCGGAATGTTCCGCACTTCTCAATCTTTCCTGGACAGGTGGGAGGAATCACGTTCATATCACCTCACCCGTTGCTACCCCTGTGCATAAAAATATCTAGCTAGAGAGTCCGTCTGCCATAAGCAGATTACCACGAATTTTCCGTCCTGGTCAACTGAAAGTCCGGCCCGTTGGTGCTGAGGAGCTTTGCCGTATCAACCATCAACCTCGACAAGATTCGGATTTTCGTCTTCAGCGTACCAAACTAGTGTTTCAGTACCTTTGTAGAATGCATACTTCCTGTCTGCAGACCGTGGGAGTGGAGGGCCAAAACCCCAGCGGGCACTGTCTGGTCGCATCCAGGCTGTTCGACGCCTTGCCACCGCCCCCGGCGTCAGCCACAGCTGACACAGGTGTAAACGGCAACACTAGTGCCCGTCTGCCCTCAATGGTGGGTCTGTTTTTCTTGCGCCCACTGCTTCGACATCGTTCAGCTGCTCGTACCGTTCCTATGCCCCCTTTCTTCTGCTTCTCTGCGAAAGGTGGAAAGTACGGCGCCGCTTAACCAAATTGGTGCTTCCGCGTCTCCTGCTCAAGGGCGCACTTTCAAGCAATTTCGGGTCGTCGTCGTCCCTGTTCTGCAATCAGCATACATCATAAAGCTCCAACTAGTCTTACTTCACTTCGTGTCTGCTTGAACTCTTAGGCAACGTTTTCCTGTGCTGTTACTACGCATTGCATATCTCTCCCTTCCTCTTTCCACCTTAAAAATATTCCGAACTCGTTGTGCAGCTTAGTCGGCCCTCGACTTTCTTCCTCCTGGAAAACGCCCGTTTTTGGATCGCCGTCCCTTTTCTTCCATCTCGTAAAAGCAGCGCACATCAATTGACACGTCCATCTCGTTTTTGATCTCGTCGATTCGCAGCTTTTGCTTCTCCGTCCCGCAGATGGTCGCCGCGGGCCCGTTCACAGCCGCGGACAACCTGGCGTACGAGCCGTTGGAGGAGCTGCTGAGCGTGGCGAAGGCGCGCCGCCCGGACGTGCTGCTACTGCTGGGGCCGTTCGTGGACAGGGAGCACCCGCACGTGCGGCAAGGCACCGTGGATGCGCACTTGGAGGACGTGTACGCGGAGCAGGTCCAGAAAAAGGTGCGCTCGGTGGAGTCGATTCGGTTGGGTGAATCAAACGTGTTCAGATTCGCCACTTTCAGTCGGAAGCCTGATTTGTTTTTACCAGGGTTTCACATCGGCGGGGGGTGGCTAGCATGAGGATTACCAAGCACCGTATCACATTGTAAGGGCATATTTGAAAGCAAGTTCCATCGACTCTTTTGGCTTGTCGCAAGGGCAGACTGTCCACACACTTCAGAATCGCACATGGGTTCGGCTTCGACCAGCGCCCGTTTCCTGTCCTCCCGGTCAGGCAGTCGCCTCATGATTGAGTTGCTCGACTTTCGCAATGCGAGAGCATTATCTTGATACTCATCCTTCTAAACCTAACCTGCATCCCCAACCAGGTGGAGGCTTTCTGCGAGGAAGTCGGCTCGGGAGTCAAGGTGGTCGTTGTTCCGTCAGTGAGGGACAGCCACCACGATGCCATCTTTCCACAGGTCAGTCCATCTGTCACAAAGTCTCGCCACGTGCTCTGTCTCGTCCAATTCCAATCGAACATTCACCATCGCGTTTTTGAATACCAGATAAGCTTTCTCGTGCTCCTCTCGTACTCCCTTGCTCGATGCGCTCCATGTCGCTTGTCATGCCAATCAGCATCCGCCCTGATTGATAGATCCCCTTCACCGAAAATTGCCCTTTGTCTTGCATCCGAGCCCGTAAACTGAAGACGCGGTGGGTTTGTTGTCAAAAGTCTGCCCCACTGATGTGCTACGTATCTTTCTGCAGCCGCCCTTTTCCTTGGACTGGAAAGACCCTGGCAAAGAGGTAAGCCGAAAATTTCTCTGGGGTCATACGGTCCCTAGTCTTGCCTTCGCACGAGTTCTGAGCCCAGAGCTGAACCCATAGCATGGTGATGCATGGGCTGAGGTGGCTGACCAAGCTTTGGTTGGACCACAAAACATATTGTTACACTCGCCTCTTTCGCTTGTCCCCAACTTTTGCTGCGGCGTCATCTCACGACGACCATCATGGCTGCGCGGTCTCTCCAATGGTTCAACCTTCTGGCGCCGATCAGCTCTTTCTAAAGAACAGTCCGTCTTCTTGCAGATCACGTTCCTGAGCAACCCGGGCGTGTTCACCGCGAACGGGGTGAGTCGCCTGCGTTCTTCGCTTCCATGAGCCGAGGAAGCCTGATGTTACACCGGCGCTCGTCCGATCACACCGCATTTGCTTTGAGGATTGAAAGAACGACTGCGAGAGAGATTGCATAATGAAGAATGGACGGATTACGTTAGTCTTTGGTCTCTGGGGTTGAAGCGCTCCTCTTAAATGTACCGGATCTCCACCCAAACCTCGCACATGCAGTGTATCTCGTGACTTTTTAAATCTGCTGGGTCCTCGAAATGAAAGACGGACATCGTGGCAGTTTGGTACCAAGTCCCATTTGCCAGATGGTAATTGGAGGTTCTGTTGGTTCTTGAGGATCCAATAAACCTGCGAGGGTTCTTAGGGGTCGCCTCTCGGTTGCAGGTTCGCGTGGCGGTCACGACGATGGACGTGCTGAAGCACCTGTCCAGCGAGGAGGCGGCCCGGGTGGCGCCCGGGGCAGCCAGCGACAGAATGGCGCGCCTGGCCGGGCACATCTTGGGACAGCGGAGGTGAGCCACGACTGCATGTGTCGCTCGCTCCCTTCGCTTCTCGCTAAACCGTCAAAAGGAGATAAGAGAGCCGGACTACAGGGATGGACTGCTCCCAAAGCACGCTCATCTTGTAGACTGCTCGCGCGGTCATGTGTTTTAAAAGCAGGGCCGTGTGACACATAAGCAGGGTACCACAGGAGGTCTTTTCAATCATAGAGAGGCCTTCCGCCAGTCAGCAACCTTGGTTGGCCGATGGAACCGAGCTGCGTATCCATATGGACGCCTCCACAGGTTGGCCAGTGGCAACAGCTTTCCCTTACTGGATCTTGCCACTTTACTGTGCAACTCTGGTGAATCCGGAAGTGCCAAATCCGCGCTGCTTGATTAGCTTGCACCGGGTGGCAAAGCTAACGAACATGGCATCCCAATATTCCGTGCCTTTTGTGCGCAGTTTCTACCCGCTGTTCCCCCCTGCTCTGGGCACGCCCCTCGACCTGTCCCTCGCCCCAAACGCCCTGGAGCTGACCTCTCTCCCGGATGTCCTCGTCCTTCCTTCCGACCTCGCTCCGTTTGTTAAGGTCAGCCTTGAACTCGTGTTCTTGCCTGGCGTTCCCGCCTGCCCTGTAAACTTCAAGCAGTGTTGTCTGCTTTTCGACTCACTGAGAAAAGCTAGGGTCGGTCGTTCGACCCCAGTAACAGGATCGAGCTTCGCCAAAGGTCCTGCTTTTTCTACTTCAGCTGTCTCGAAGCACTTCCCATCATGTTCCTTCTCGGAAAGACGGCTCACCACTTCCCAACAAATCTATAGATGCTCATGTCGGCCGTTTCCGAGGCCGCTCGCTAGTTTCGCAAAGCTTTGCCATCAACTCGCTTGAACGCTTTTGGTTCGCATTCTGACATTCACACATTTGCAAATTCCTGTCACCAGGTCCTTTCTGCGGAATCCAAAGAGGGTGGCCAATCATCGCAGCCGGCTCAGGTCTTGTGTGTAAACCCGGGTCGGCTTTCGAAAGGTACATCAGGAGGCACTTTCTCGTACATCCAAAGCAAAGCTTCGCGCGGAGTTGCAGGCAAAGCCAACCCCGCAAAAGTTGAGATCATCCGAATTTGATTCCGGTCCGGACTTCCGCTGGTGAGGCTGCAGAATGTATTTTTGCAGACTGTGATGCGGTTTGAGCAGATGACCGGTCTTCAGGTTTTCAAGGAACCGAAGTGGTTGCTCTAAGAATTTGCCTTCCTGAGATCGACTAGTACAAACTCATCCCTACGGCATTTGCTCATCGGCTCGGCCACATGCCCCCAAACGTGCAATTGTTATGCCATGCGAGATCCCGCCTGCGCAGCCATGAATGTTGAGCAGTGCTCTGTGGACCATTAGCTTGGTGAGCACATCATCAAGCTGCACAAAAAACGATGGTTATGTGCATGTGTCCCACCGCAGACTTCACTGGCCGGTTGCTCCAGTGCAAAGCACCGGCGCGTCTGATCCATGCAATTGTGACAACACATGCACATATGGTAGCATTTAAACATCGATCTGTGAATCCTGTCATACAAAGCTGACGGTTTTGTCTGATCGAACATCGCAAGCGAGCCTCATATCAAACGCCGATCTGAGCTCAACTTGTGCATCACGCAGTAGCGCTCTTAATCTGTCGTAAGCATATATGGCGGCAGAGGCCGTCATACGTACATTGCCACGGTCGTCGGACTCAATCCACCATATGCTGCCACATACGCAGCAATGCATGACTTGATTCTCCAAATGCATCCGTATCGAATCAGATTACAAGGCGATGCGCTGCCGCCGGCCCCGAGCTAGAGTTGCGCAGAGGCCTACAACAATATAGGTGGTCGGAAGCTGGATCGTTATGTCAGCCGCACAAGGCGGCACCCCGTTCGAGTTGCCTATCCTATCCTACCATGCTAATGACCTATTTTTGTACATCGGCATGATTTCCATCGCACATGAACTTATCTCTACATATACCTAGCTACGACTTGCAGTTTACATTCAACTCAATCAATGATTTGACACTACCTTCTTTGTAACCAAAGGTTCGCCATGTTCGAGGTACCATAACCCCGTCAACAAGATTCCATCCGTGGGCATCCCAGCGAGGATGTCTGAGCGGGCCTCTTCGAGAGATCTCAAGTGCGTGCATAGCATTTCGCCTCCCTCCAAGGCAGGCACCCCTTTTTGGATTGCGTTCTTGGCAGCAACGAAGATCACCTGCAGATGCACGACTCAGACTGCTTTGTGGTACAGATTCCTTCGTTGTCTCGACTCGCAGCAGAACCATCTGCCGCCAGATGACAAACAGGGCGACGAACACGTCGGTCAGGATGCAAACGAAGCAGACGCCTTTTTGGCGCCATTCGTGCTTATTCTTGAAACCCGCTGCTCCAGACTGGCCTCCGTCAAACTGGTCAGTGTGGGCCAGATTCGAAGGTATGCGTACCATCCATCGATCCTACCAATCTTATCAACTATCCAAGCAGCCCGAATATGCAGGAAATACATACAGATCCGTCTTCTTAAAGCGAGCAGAAAAGCGCTGCTTTCTTGACCAGAGTAGATTGTGATTTTCTTGGATAGAGACGGGATGCCAGATCGTTGTCGAGAAGTAATTTCCTTGGATAGAGACGCGAGTGCCAAATCGGTTTCGAGGAAACGAAAAGTTTTGACGACAAACGCAGGGTGCACCAGTCCGTGTTGCGTCGCGCGTACCTTCTGTTCAATGATGCCCGGGGCTGGCCATGATTCACCAATGACTGCATACTCCGTAGCTTCGTATCCAGTCTCCTCTCGCAACTCGCGAGCGGCAGCCTGCGTGACCGGCAAAGAATACTCAGAACCAAGAATCTGATTCTGATATCTGAAAAAATTGGCAGCCAGTTCAAATTTGCTCGAAGATTTCCATTCGCAATTTCCAAACTTCTTCTAAAGATTTGAAACCCGCTGGTCTGCAGTCGCGGAGGATGCAAGATCAAAAGTTGTTCAGACTTAATAGACCGATATTGTAATGCTGTCAATTTGTACATGGAACTCGAAGGTCCGTAAAACGGATTAATGAACGGCTGCCAAGGGGAAGTTTACATACAAAAAGCCCGGGCCCGCAAGTCATGCCTAATCGCACAGCAAAGAATCAGAAGCCTATCTCAAAGTAAGGAGTGCGACCCAAAGGCGGCGGTTGCACAATTCACGACTACCAGATCTAGCAGACGCCTCACTACTTTCTCAGGAAATGGGTCGAACACTCACCGTAAGCGGGTCCTCGTTTGGGTCGACCAGCCCCCCAGGGCTGCTCAGAAGGTACTTGCCGGTGGGGTGACGATACTCTGTGCAAATGAGTGAACGGTTACTGGAGTGTTTGCAGATGATTGTTCGCTTAGAGAACGGAGGCGAGCACCACATCACAAGTTGGCAACCAGACGATCTCATGCAGCAGTAATGAAATCCGGCTTCCATAGCCAGCACTTTCCTTGGATCCACAATTCCTTCGAGATCTACAGCCGTACGTGACAGTCGCTTACACTGATACTAAGGACCTCCCCAACCGCAATTCACTCCACATGCTAAGATCCAATGGGGCCACCAATGACCTTACTTCGAAAAGGCCGAGATTCTAACCTTCTCTTTCCAAAGTGAGGTTTCAATACGAACCTCTACGAAGTTGCTCCGGCAATCAAACCGTGTATCGTAAACGGCCACTAGCTTTGAAACCGCGAAGTGGTGGCTGTGATGTCTTTTCAGGGAGGAATATGAATTTGGGCTTCAGCTACAGGTTGGCCTTGCCTAGAATGACCCACATCCGTTTTGAAGGCCCTGATGTCTCGCATTCTGCCGAAGCTTTTAGAGTCTTGACCTCGACACCTCTTGCCAGGAGGCAGACAAGACCTTCGCAGAAGACGAGGTGTCTAGCAAACTATTATATGAGAAATTCGCATGAGATTATGCTCACCTTGTGTCAGAACAAGCTTGTTGTCGGGAGTGAAAGCCAGCTGCAACAAATGGGTGGCATCATGAGCATCGAAACTGAGAACTAATGAATGGAGTCCCCATTGTTGACTGATAATGCACCTGTGGCGTCTTCTAACATAGACGAGCTAGCGGGGCGGGCAGTGGTTCGTCACTTCCAGTTCGCAGATTGACCGCACCACTCTTTGAGACGGCTTTTTCACCACATGATCACGTGTGAGTAGCTTTGTGACTTACAATGACCACCGCGGTTGGTCTGGACAAGACTGTCAGATAGTCCATGGTTTTGCCGTCTGGCAGGAGGAGCGTCTCTGAGCGCACTTTCTGCAAAAGCAGGGGAAGCTATCATGAGGCAGTATGGCTGGCAAGATGTCCCATAAATCAACTTCGATCTCAAGAGAACCACAAACATCCTTCAGATTGGAAATAGAATGGGATTGTAGCGCCCCCGGCTGGGCTGCACTTAAAATCAAAAGGCCCAAACCCTTAGCAACCAGAAAACTGGGCTTCCAATCTCCTTCTAGTCAATCCCCAATATGTAGACAGGGAAATATTTTCTCTACAAGGCCCTTACGAGATGCTGGTTTGAAGTTCTCACCAGAAACGCATCGAGCACAATATGGCTCTCCTTGACTACTGGCACCGGTTTTTCCGCTGGAAAAGAAGCAAAAGTGGTGTTACAGAAGGGCAAGCCTTCACTTTGACAGAGTCCTTTGCAGAGCAGAACCTTTGGGAGCCCAGCCTCATGCCTAAATACTATGTAAAGCGTATCACACCACGGAAAGGTGTCATCAAAAGATGCAGGCAAAGGCCAGCCGCTCACCTTCTTTGTTACATTCTTGAGCTGATGCGGGTGAGGAAGCTGCCGCCTCATTCACTTCTACTTGTTTCGTCGTGGCCCTTGTAAAACCACTATCTGACCCTTCACTTCTTGACATATAGTGACTGCCCCAGCCATGACAAGTTCTGCGATCGTGCCCTACATTCCCGGCCAGGTAACTTTCCAGTAGACCACACGCAGACTTCCCAAGGTTTGCGAGAGTGTTGCGCTTCGAGAGAGAGGGGATGTTAGTGGCGCTTTGCGCCCTCCCAGCGATCCTGGCCATCATTGGGCTGCTCAATCCTGATGCGGCCGGTCTGTCAGCTCTGCCCTGGCCTGCCTCAACTGGGAGTGCACTGCCAGGGTCCTCAGCAGAAACCTTTCATCCACCACTTGGAAAATTGGGAGGCAGTCCAACGTGGTGCAAAACACGTAGATGAGTGTGGCTTGGGAGACAAGGAACCTGTACTGACCTAGACACCTTATTAGTGTGAAGTACAGCATCTTGTCCCCCAAGCGAGTTTCAGTGGAGCAGACAACTTGCTCGTGCCAACACGTCTAATCTAGGTCTCCGCTGGCAAGTCTGCTACAAAATGCTGATGTCAGGATTGGATATCGCTGCGCTACGTAAGTTGAAGATCAGGCCATTTCGAATGGCTCAAGTCCGTCACTTGCCAAAATCTTGTCTGCCCTCCGGCGTAACTGCCTTTTAACTGCAAGAGAATGTGGGCAACAACAAGCTTACAGAGCGTTCTGCCCTCTCCGAACTTCCAAGCATTTCAGAACAAGAAGCTGCAAAAGCTCTTAAGACTCAACTTCTGCCAATGGCGCCATCAGGTAGCCTGCACAAATGCTGTGCGGGTGTTGGCTGACGAAAAAGCAAACCGTGCAGATAGGTAGGTAATAGCAGAAAGTACAACATATAAGACGACGTTCATCCGGATGTAGGCATGAGCGGTTTTGATACGAATTATATTCCGGAATCCGGAAGTACCGCCTCCTTGGCGGCTCAAGCGAATAACCCCGTACAAAGACGACAAATCCGACCGAGAGTAGAATGTATAAGGAGTCTACCCACGTCATTCTTGTACACAGAGCTATTGACTGAGCTTGGCTAGCTCGTGAGGGAGAGTTTCATTCAAGACTCACCCCAGAAAGTTGCATCCATGTTCAAGGCCCAAGGGAGAAGACGACTCAGATTGCCAAGTTTAGCTCATCAGAACTTGAAACAGCATTGGGGCGCATCCAATTTTGCAAGATGGCTGAGGCCTTGGTGGCTGCTGCAAGAACCTTGAATAAATTGAATAAGACTGGCCTCTCCTCACAAACATCGCCAGCTGAGCGACGCAGCAATCCGTCCTGCGTTTCTGCACAATTTCCTCGGAGATCTGGAGTTCAGGGAAGTTCCTTCTTCCCAGGAAACTCCCCAATCGAATTCAGAAAGAGTTTGATCCAAGCACTCACACATTGCAGAGCGCCAGTCAGGACTTTGAAAAGAGGGACGCCAATCCAGGCCATTCGGCTGCCGTCTCTCGACGCCCAAAAGCAGGAGGACAAGTTCGCGGAGGTTTCGGTGGACAACGCGTGCGACGATCAGTACACGGTGATCACAGTCAGGGCCAGCAACCGGCCGGGGCTCCTGCAGACAGTGACGTCCACTTTCAGGGATCTCGGGCTGGAGGTGGCCAAAGCGACTGCCGACATCAAGGATGGGGTGGTGGGGGACGTGTTCTACGTCACTGGGGCGGAGGGGAGCAAGATCACCAGAGACTGGGACATCAAGAACGTCAAGAAGTGCCTGGAGAGCGTGCTCAAGCAGGACACCGGACGCTTCGGACGATTGCAGAGCAGGTGGCCCCTCACGTTCCACTTTCCGGACAGGTCATACCCCCCAGGCACGGCGGACGAGCACCGGCGGAAGACGGAGCTGCTGTACACGCTGATGGACGAGTACATCAAGAATGATGTGCTGTCAATTCAGCAGAGCATCATGGACCACGTCGAGTACACGGTGGCGCGCAGCAGATACCGCTTTGACGACTGGGAAGCTTATCAGGTATGTACAACTGAAGCAACAAGTTCTCTCACCTCCCCTCCTGGCACTACTTGTTGTCATCCTTTCATCAGCCAGATTCTATTGGTTGCAGCATGAGTCGATGCCCGTCACCTGCTTGTTGATAAGGGTGTCGAACGATACCTTTTTCCAGTTTTAAGAAATGTAACCTCCGTATACGCTCAGAGTGCCACAGTCTCATCAATTGTCTTGCTCCGCAGGCTGTGGCTTACAGTGTCCGTGATCGACTCATTGAGAGCTGGAATGATACGCAGCAGTTCTTCAAGAACTCAGACCCCAAACGGGTCTACTATCTGAGCATGGAGTTTCTCATGGGTGAGTCCACTTGGTGCTTTCTACATTTGTCAGGGAATTTGGACAGTTCCTGTTGGTTTTCAAGGAAATCCTGTCATGCGTCTCATCTTTGACAACGTTTGTGAAGCAAGGACGCTTCTGATGCTCCTCGATCTGTGAAAGGCTCAGGTTTAGAATGTGTTCCCTTGCAAAGTGGTGGGTGAAGCAATTCAGTGCGGGGTTTCTTATGCGCTAGTTGCTCGTCTTCGTTCTCCCAGGACGGTCCTTGTTGAATAGCGTGTTCAACCTGGGGGTGAAAGATAAGTATGAAGAGGCGCTTCGACAATTGGGATACGACCTGGAGACGCTTGCGGAACAGGTGAGTAAAGCCCGTCTCCTCTTCTTTTCAGGCAAGCAGACGGGGAAAGACAAATCTAGGTGCAGTTTCTGGAGGTCAGTAGGATCCTTCTCGTTAAATTCATTGAAGAACTCATTTTTTCTCGATGGCTTGGTGGTGCTGTTGGATTCGAAGTCCTTGCCTGTGCGGCAACATTCTGGCAAGCTTGTTACTTATTGATTGCTCTAGCTCTCTTAAGCTGTATCCAGGTTCTGAACTGATTTGCTTACTGTTGCCAGGAGCGGGATGCGGCGCTAGGCAACGGAGGCCTTGGGCGACTAGCAGCGTGCTTCCTGGACTCCATGGCCACCCTCAACTATCCGGCTTGGGGGTAAGTTAGAGCGGACGGGCCATGTTTCGGAAGGACACGTCGAAGTAGCAAGTCAATGCGAGTGGCTAAAAGTTATCTGACCTACCACCTGATGTAACCACAGTTTGTTGCGCTGGCCCTATAAGTGCATGTGAGACCGAGAATCAAAGAAACGGCGAGATGCAGATTGCGCATTTCTCAGTTTTGAGGAGACCCATCTTGTTAAAGCTGAGCCTCTGCTTGCTTCGAAAACAGGCTGTCTCTTGATATGCTGTTAATTACCGGGTCGTAGCCCAAGTTAAGCTCTTAACATTACTTAGAAAGAACTGTTGCTGTCCTTGAGATGAGTCCTTACGGAAAGGAGGATAATGTGGCTTGAAATTCGCCTTTCATGTGCAGTTATGGATTGAGGTACCAATACGGCATGTTTAGACAAAGTTTGAGGGATGGCTTCCAGTACGAGCAGCCTGATTACTGGCTGAACTTCGGCAACCCCTGGGAAATCGAGCGGGTTCAGTTCTCCTACACAGTGAAAGTAAGTAAGCAGTGTGCGCCCCCTAAATGTCTTCTAAAAACGGGGGGGCTGCCGCCCCCCCGAACCCCCCCGCTTTGCCTGTTTGGGCCTTCGATACGATAACCTCATGAAATACGTGAACTTCGAAGGGAATTGTCAGAATCGAATATTGACGAGCTCCTCTCGTTCTCTCGTGTGATGCTGATTCTGACTCAGGCGTGCATGCTCCTTTTGAGTTGAGCGAGTAATCAGCACGTTGCAAGTCCGTAAATACAAACTTTTGCGACCTGAAAGCTATTTGTCTTTCTTGGAGGCGAGAAACTTTTCAGAGCTTCTTTGGTGACTTTTCTGTAATTTCTATGGGTTTTTCTGCTGTCCTTTTCCAGAAACCAATCTGCGCTTGTGATTTCTCATTTCCTGACTCAGGTCACATCTGAGTCGTCCTTAAGGGCTAACCATATCCGCCACTTCCCACGGCTACACTGCAGTCCCGGTTTGTTGCTGACCCTTCCTTCTTCACTGCTCTCAGTTCTACGGCAAGGTGGAGAAGAAGTGGGAGGACGGGGTGGAACGGCACATCTGGAACGCCGGGGAGCAGGTATGTCAACGGGGAGCAACGAGAATGTTGCAAACCTGTCGGTCGCTTCAAGCAGGGCGAGGAGGGCCCCTGTTGGTCGGGGGCCAACTACTGTTCCATTCATGTTTGCTTCTTTGAAAATTCTGCAGAAAGGTCACGTTTCGTGCTTTCCGGAGACGCAAAGGATGAATTAGTGTAAGCTTCGGCTGAAAAGGTGCGACTGTTTCTGTTAGGTCGAGGCCGTGGCGTACGACAACCCCATCCCTGGCTACGACACCCCCAACACCATCAATCTGCGGCTGTGGGCCGCCAAGCCGAGCGGAGAATTCGATCTGGTAAGAGTCGCCGCGCTCAAGATTGCATTATGATGTGAAGGGCTCTGATCCGCTTGGGTTCCCGTTTCGTGTTCGTTCGCTGCGCCGTCCACTGCAGTCGTCGATCAAATGCTTTCTGAGAAGGGCACAGACATACCGCTAGATCAATACATGATTCCGACAATTGCGGGCCCCGTCCACGAGACTCCGCGCGCACTAACGAAGCTGCATATTCTTCTGGTTCTTGCAGGAATCATTCAACACCGGGGACTACGTGACGGCAATTCTGAACAAGCAGCGGGCGGAGACGATCAGTAGCGTGTTGTATCCTGACGACCGAACTTATCAAGTAAGCTGATAACGTGGAGAGTTTTGAGGCTTGTGTGCAATCTTGAATCGAATCTAGCTTCGCTTCTAGCTTTCGCTGTGTGCTCGTCTGTGGCGTCTAGTCTGCCTTCGAGTTTCTAAACCCTTACGAGTATGCTCTGTGGCTGGATTGCGGGGCATGACCCCTTCGCTGGGTATCGAGTGGATATCGCTTCAGCTGACAAAGCTACTTGGGGATTCCTTTCGTCAGAAAGGGAGGCAAAGGGTTACATCCCTGACGATCGCTTGCTACGTGCAGGGCAAGGAGTTGCGGCTGAAGCAGCAGCACTTCTTCGTGTCGGGCACGCTGCAGGACGTGATCCGACGGTATAAGGAGAAGCACGACCACTTCAAAATGTTTCCCGAAAAGGTCAGCAGCTCTGCCAGCGCACTGCTCTCTCCACGAAACGGTGCTTTTCCGACTTCAGAATGAATTCTACGAATATCCGACCTCTGGCAGCGATGACGCCCGTAACGTGCGGCACGCTTTTGGTCGCAACTCTTGCTTGGCACAACTGTAGAGCACTCTATGGCGAGCTTGCTGTCAGATTTTGGCCTCGAGCCCCCGAACGCTCTTATCCTCCTGCCCGCTTCCTCTGAACAATTGACGACTCGCGAGCGCGTCATCTGTTCACCGCGCTTCGAAATCCACCTCGTGTAATCGGTGTACAAAAGCAGCTGCCAACAACCGGCAAGGAGTTTCACACAACAGGCCCGCGTTTGTTCGCGCCCGCAGGTGGCGTTCCAGCTGAACGACACGCACGATGACAATGGAATGGCATCCGACGGCTCACGATTGCGCAATACTTGAATCTGGAAGTGGCAACTTTGATGGGAAGAGCTGTGATTGAAAGCAAGGATCACAGCGCGAGCGCACCCGCCTTCGCTCCTGCAGGTCGCGTTCCAGCTGAACGACACGCACCCGACGATTGCGATCCCGGAGCTGATGCGGCTGCTGGTGGACGAGGAGGGGCTGCCGTGGGCGGAAGCGTGGGGCGTGGTGACGCAGGTGTTCTCGTTCACCAACCACACCATGCTGCCCGAGGCGCAGGAGAAGTGGCCCGTCGAGCTCATGGAGTCGCTCCTGCCGCGCCACATGCAGGTCAGCCACGCACCGCCGGCGACCCCGGCATATGGTCCTCGTTCAGAAGAAGGGGTTGCTGTAGGAGGTTTGTGAGGGAGATGGTCCAATGAGAAACTGCTCCTGGGCGATCTTTTTGAGGAGCGTACTGTTGTTCCTCGCAAGGAGAGGACTTTTGCACAACCCATCTAGAATCTTAAGTGGCATGAAGTGGACTGACAGACTCGATCTTTCGCAGATCATCTACGACATCAACTTCCAGTACATCGAGCAGCTGAAGAAGCTGATTGGCAACGACTACAGCAGGATTGCTCGCATGTCCATCATCGAGGAGGGCCAGTTCAAGGTGCGCACCCGCCCGCAGCTCCGTTTCCCTGTTGCGAGCACTCAGCGTCCGTCTGAGACGAACTGAAGTGCACGGCCCGTGTAGAAGTGCTGCAAAGGGTGTCCAATATCGGGAATGCGCTGCTGCTTCCTCAACGACGTCCTCATAGATTATCCTGGCGGGCTTTTGACTGCAACAGATCCTGGCAATAAACGTTGCAAGAGCTCTTCTTACATAGGTCCAATCAGAGGCGCCGAAGAGAGTGACGCCGGTATCCCAACCTTGTCGCTATTACTGAAACAGGTGGGCCCTGCTTTTGCTGAGTAATTGGCTGTATTCCTCCGCTTTGCAAGTAGGCTTCCTTAAGTACTGACACGCTGCCACGTGTCCTTGCAGTCGGTGCGCATGGCCTTCCTGGCCCTGGTGGCTTCCCACACGGTCAACGGAGTTGCTGCCATCCACTCGGAGCTGATCAAGAACACGCTGTTCAAGGTAGGGCTTCTTGTACAGGACAGATCTGTCGAGGGAAGGCGACGCTTTGGAGAGTCGATCCGGCGTCAAACTTGGTTGCTGAATCCACGCGCTTCAGGCGCTTCAACTTTGCAGAGTTGATTGAAGCTCGCTAGCTGACTTTGACGAGCGACCACCAGAAGACGACTGCTTTCATCTTCGCTTCTTGTTCGGAAAAGCACAACTTGTCGCAGACTGGGTTGCTTGGCACCGTGCTTAGGAGACGGGGTCGCCGTCGTTCAGACGTGGTTGGATTGGTTGCCCCCGGCTCTGTGCAGAAGTACGAGAACAGCTACAGCAGCTTCCTGAGTTCTGCAAAGCCGTCGCTTATCTCTTTCGCACCAAAAACAACGTCTATTGTTTCTTCCCGCTGAGGACCTTGTCAGGAGCTCACCTAACAAAGCATTACCCTTCCATCGCAGGAATTTGTGGGCATCTGGCCACACAAGTTCCAGAACAAGACCAACGGAGTCACGCAGGTGAGGCTCCACAAACGAGCGGTTCACAGCTTCGCTTCCACCGACCATGCTCGTGCCTTTGGCATTGAGGTCGAGAAAGTATTTTCCTTGGCTATGAATACAAGAGGGCAGAGCTTGTCATAGGATCTATGTCTCGCTCCTCTTAAAATGGATCTATCTATAGTAAACAGACAGCATTATCTGAGGGTCCATCGCTTTTGGCAATGCTTGCAAACAGCCAATCTTAGACATCCTTCAGAGTTGAAGAGCACCACGTGTCACGTACCCTCTGTCGCGGCCTCAAGCCCGGCTTGCCTGTCCGCGTGCAGCGGCGGTGGCTGGCCAACTGCAACCCGCGGCTGCGTGACGTCATCACGTCGTGGCTGGGCACTGAGAAGTGGATCACCAACCTGGACCTGCTGGCGGGCCTCCGCGAACATGCAGAGGACCCCGAGCTGCAGCAGCAGTGGCGCGACGTGAGGCCCGCATAAAGGCTCGTCCTTCCATGTAATGTTGGATCTTCCATGTGATGTTGGATCTTCCATAACGTTGCTGATGTTGGAAACGGTCCACGTTCTCAAGCTCTTGGTGTCCAGCCCTTCCATTGAGCGGACGCCCCTGTTGTGGCCAATTTCGCGTCTGCGGGTTTTGGATACTCCACGACATGCCGGAGGGCTCGTCGGATCTTCGGCTGCTCAAATACATCAAGAAGAGTGGGCGATTGAGCTTGCTATTGGATGATGGGCGCTTGCTCCGGAAGGAACAGATGCTTGTGACTGAATCGTCGCGTTTCTCCGCGTCCAGGTCCGGAAAGCGAACAAGAAACGCTTTGCGTACTACCTGGAGACAGTGAGCGGTGTCAAGGTAGGTTGCGCCCTGACACTTAGCTTCAAGGGCTGGCAACCCCGGACCATCTGGAAGGAACCAATTCCACGTTCTTATGTCAGGATGTATATCAAAGCCGGCCTCTGGCAGATCATTGTCTTTCGTCTTTGGCCACTTTACATCGACACTTGCTCCTCGCCTGCTCCTTTTCGCTGTTTCTAAGACGATGCATCTAACGTTGTGATTGGTAATAATTGTTCCCGCAGGTGAGCACGGAGGCGATGTTCGACGTGCAGGTGAAGCGCATCCACGAGTACAAGCGGCAGCTGCTCAACGTGCTCAGCATCATCCACCGGTACGACTGCATCAAGGTGAGCACCCCGCCTTGGCCGCAACGCCCTTATGGAAAAAGTACCACAGAGTCGTGGTTCCTCTCCGGACGTCGAATTTCAATCGGCTTTTTATCTCATCATAGTGCCCTTGCGTCAGGTAGTTGCCGTCAGCATCCAGAGTGCCACCTGTCGCGTTCCTCTTGCTGTTGTGCGCGCCGTAGCTCGGTAAACAGACTCGTGTCGCCCCATCGAGTGTTTCAAAGACGGCTATCCTTTTGTAGCCTCCAACGCCTTTTCCTCTGACTCCCCGCGATGAAAGGGTTGTCATCAAAGCTGGACGTCTAGATTGGATAGCCCAAGTTAGAACAGTGACATTTTTCAGCGGAGAGAGAGTTTCCTTTTTGAACAATCGCTTAGAACCTTGTTTTTGCCCGTTGCAGCAAATGAAGCCGGAGCAGCGCAAGCTGGTGGTCCCCCGTGTGTGCGTCATCGGCGGCAAGGCGGCCCCCGGGTACGACATGGCCAAGCGGATTATCAAGCTCGTCAGCGCAGTAGGCGACGTCATCAACAAGGACCCTGACGTCGGCAACCTCCTCAAGCTGGTCAGCCCAGCTTTCTAGACACCCGGTTGCCAACGGACTGCCGAGTCGTCGAGAGTCGTGAACTTAAATTTCTGATGTCATCTGCTTCCCTGTGCTCCTCAGATTGTGAGTATGAGCCGTGGGGCAGTGCCCGCAAAGAAGGTGTTGCTCAATTTCATCCTAGTTCCTTTGCAAGTGAGTGCTTGGCATGCGCGGAAAGTTGTGTCTCCCTTCTCCTGCAGATCTTCGTCCCCGACTACAACGTGTCGCTCGCTGAGCTGATCATCCCCTCGACGGACCTCTCTCAACATATCAGGTGAGCCTTGGACCGCCTGCTTCATGTAGGGAGCTTGGAGATGAGGAGCCCGCAGTCCTGTCAGAGACGAGAAGCTCTTCTGGGAGGGACGCCTCCTCCTGTCAAAGCATTACTGGATCTTGCCTGCTGTGAGTAATCTTCTCTCTGGTATGTTGAGCACTTTGAAAGCTCCGCAAAGGTGATCGTGTGAGATTGCGTCTGTTGCGAGCTAGGAGAGATTGAAAAGTTCATCCCAAAGGCGAAAGCGTTGAGAAGGCGGCTGCGGAGGAGGGGAAGCAAGAAGTTTACGACCTCGGGAGTTATGTCTGATTCCTCAGAAAAGAATCCAGGTCGCATCTTCAGCCCGACTGCTTCAGTGATCCCCAGAAGTGCAGCACAAATAGGTTCAAGCGGTAAGTGACACGTGGCTGGCGTGTGCAGCACTGCCGGGAACGAGGCGTCCGGCACGAGCAACATGAAGTTCGCCATGAACGGGGCGCTCATCCTAGGGACCATGGACGGGGCTAACGTCGAGATTGCGGAGGAGATTGGGGACGAAAACATGGTGAGCTGCCTTCTCTCATAACCCGCCTCGCAGCAAAGTATTAACGCCATAAGAGGGTGCCTCTTTGTTTGTGAAAACGAGGGCCTGGAATCTTGCTCGTGACTGTGAGCCGGTCGATTTGCTCTGCGGCTCTAGTTCCAACGCCGTGGCCGGCAGTTTGCTAGCTTTCAGCGAGGCGCATCTCTTCTGAAGTTCCTCCACCGTTGTTCGAGGACCCGTCCCGGTATTGGACACAGTTCGATTCAGGGTCAAGTTGGAGGGCCTTCTTCTGGTTGGGGGGCCGTTTTCCGACTAGCTGATTGGTTTGGCCGTGCAGTTCATCTTTGGAGTGCGGACGGAGGAGGTGCCCAAGCTGCGGCAGGAGCGGCCCTCCTTCCGGCCGTCGCCAGCGTTCCAAAGAGTCGTACAGTGAGTGTCATTGAGTCCCTGGTACTGTGGAAAGATTTTGCTTTTGTGTTTAACTTGACCCGCGTCTCAGAGGCCCGTCCATTGACTTGACTGCAGTGCAAGGATGGTTTGCTGCTCTTCGTTACTCAGCTTGATTTGATGCGCTTTCGTCACGTTTGTCACGTTGAGCAAGAACCGGGTGGCCATGCAAGGCGATCAGCAGGCAGACCTCAGCGTGCTTGACTCGAAATGTTTGATGTATTTTTAGTCCCATGAAATCTTGCAAGTCGGGCTCATTGTATGATGAGACGGGCGGAAGCCAGTCAAACTCATTAGGTAGTTCCTACAGCCTTCCTCAGTAGGTTTCTGGTTTCATTAGGTCTGGTGTTGAACGACAGTTAAGGGTCCGCCTTAAGATTCTAGCTCAATCTTTGCAGGATGATCCGGGACGACAAGTTTGGCTTCGCTGAGTATTTCAAGCCTGTGGTCGAGTCTATCACGGGACCCGACGTCTACCTGCTGGCCAATGACTTCGACTCCTACCTCCTAGCTCAGGCAAGTGGCGAAACGGGTCCACCACAGTCATCAGTCTCTGTGTGTTAGAGGGGGTTCCGACTGTCCGCATTTATTCGTCTGATGCGTAGATCAGCATTTTCAGGTTCTTGATCGATGTCACGTGCGGCGACTCCCTAAATGAGGTGATTGAGAGGGTCCCTCTTCCAAGAGCGGAGGCCTGTCTTTCTCCACCGTTTGGCTCTTCGGGGTTGGGGTTCCATTCTGATTGTTAGCCGTGTGTTGTTCAAAGTGCATTAATACCATTGTGAAAGATTGACAGCTGGCCGGGCGCTGCTCTTGCAGGCCAAAGCCGACAGAACGTTTGTGGACCGGCAACTGTGGACCAAGATGAGCATCCTGAGCACAGCTGGGTCCGGCAAGTTCTCGAGCGACAGGACGATAAAGCAGTACGCCGACGAGATATGGAACATCAAGCCCTGCATGAGGCCCATCTGAGGTTATCGCGGGGCGGGGTCTGTACAGTGCCCGTAAAGATTGCGGGGGACGAAGACACCTTTATAGGCATCTCGACATTGTTTAGCGGTCAAGGGCTATCAGAATGAACGATGACGGACGACATAGGCACTCGTCACAGGGTTAAATTCGGTAATTGACTGGTTCTACATGCATTATGAAACTCAACAAGGAAGAAATTGGTTGCAGCAGTGTAACTCAAACTGGTCTAGCTTGCACCTTGTGATCAGAGGGCGCGAATCTGCTTTGCGAAGTACAAATCGTGATGAATGAGTTGCAAACTTACATGATCAGATTTATGTCTTATGGCTCGATGAGGACACAACGCATTTTGGCCGGTTGTTCTCCCGTAGCTTGCGTGTTTTATCTCATGAGCTAGTGACCGCATACGCTTTCCAATATTCGAGTTTTGTCCACAGAAAAGTCGTTCGCTTCGTCCTATATATTGCATGTGAAATATTAGTTGATCTTCGCTTCGTCCGATCTGAGCTAATTAAAGATCATAGGCACGCATATTGGATAACGGAAACTTGGAGATTAGCGTCAACACATGACCAACATAAAAATATTGTCGCTGTTATGATGCACTGAGTGGCATGATGTGCATGCATGGCTATGTAATAGTTAGTGCATGCACGTACGAGGGTGAGGGAATACGAGAATAGTGCCCAAGGGCGGAGCCCAATATGCGAATGATAACTGTGAGGAGTCTCGCGGTGGGCATGCCAGGTTAGCTAGCTGGGTGTTGGACCCCGTGTTCTCATTTATTCCTAGCATGCAATCGCGCACGCCAGGTACCATTCGCCAACCTCCAAGAGTGAGCGAATCTGCTACTACCTACATTGTAAGTAGTTGGCGCCTCGTGAGGTGGGCATCATCCGACTGAGTCCAGCGCAACCGGCGCGGGCGCACCTTACTAATACTAATGGCCGGTCCGAGCTAGCCTAGCTAGTGACTAGGATTTATGTCCATCATAGGCCAGACTGCCGCGCGTCGGCCGCCCGCGCCCGGCATAAGTTGAAGCATGAAGTTCACAGGGCTGCCGTCCGATGGTTTCTTTTCGGAACCAAATACCCGCGATCGGACGGCGACGAACGATCTGTACTGGGGTCCAAGTCGTCCACCGTTGAAGTCGTTGACTCCGTTGAAAATGACTGCCGTCTGGTTCTTCGTGTATGCTTCCACTCTGAACACAGTCGAGAAGATTCGAGGATCAGCCTCGGCCATGAGATTGTGAGAGTGACGGATGCTTGTTGAGCAGAGCGATCAGCCTGCTGAATTCTTCCGAATTTTCAACAGGCACTTCTTGCAACCTCAGAACCTCTAGCCTGACCCACACTTTGAGAGTCTGTCAAAATGCGACGTATTGAACATCGGATAGACCAAGTCTGTAAGAAGGGCAAACGGATGCGCTATAGTAGCCGCATTGCTAGTGAAGATAAGGTCGCCCGTAGCGCCAACATGCGTGTTGCAAGGTCTTCGCCCAATAAAACCGAGCCCCTAATTGCCTCCAAGCATGGCCTCTCTCATGCTGCGAGCCGTAAAGACCGCTCACTTTGTTCAGTACGGTCACCAAGGGGCTAAGGGATCCGCCCAAACTGAAAGCCGCAGCCAGCCGCACGAGTCGGAAGAAGGTCCTGGCAAGATTCCCGCTACAGAAGAGTCAGCTGGTTCCCTGACCACTCACGGAGAGCGTAGCCCAACCGGTCAATCTATTCCAGGTTTTACCGTAGCTCTCGCCTGTGCATTTGGCGGATAGGACACACTCAGCGGTTTCGCAACATGGTCTGCAAACAATTTTAGCTTAGAAATACTCGAAAGAATGCCCTCTCCTGATTTAGCTAGGCAGGCCTTGGCAAGTCTTAGCAAGCGTCTGAGGCCCTCCCTGAGGAGCCCAAAGACCGAGCAATAAAGTGGGACTTCCTCGGTTAGTAAGCTAAGTATTCTCGGTTAGTGAACTAAGTATTCTTGGTTAGTGATCCAAGAAATTGTCGGTTAGTGAACTAAGTGTTCCAATGAATGGACACCCAGACTGGTGCTTCGACACAGGAGGGCCTGCCCCCGGCGGCGCTGGCCAAGGCAATCATCAGCCTGGTCGACGGGTGAGTAGTTTGAGCTCAGTGCAATCTCGAAATGCCCTTACTGTAACGCCAGTGCTTCTGAGCGTTCGTTTGGATGCTGGCCGTCCGTTTGGATTGGACGCAGGCGCTTCATCACCATGACATAAAGTCAGGCATCCTTCCATCCAAGCGTCAGATAGACTTGTCATGTGATTGGGAAGTGGTGGACAGAAACGAGAATGAGGCAATTGCACCTCTAATGGTTGCGAGTAAAAGGGAAAAAAAGATAGAAAAACTTTCATTCCAGTCCCTCTGGGCTCACAGCTGACGAGAATGCTTGTCCCCACTCGGGTGTCCTTCTCGGAATGAGCTACTCCTTGCATACTGGCATCGCCCATAGAAGACCAATTACCGCTTCTTAGCTCCTCACCAATTCGGCTTGGAAGAAAGGCTCAAAGAAAGAAGCTGGGATCCATTACGTTTTCTGCGGCAGGCGCAAGCGGTTCCCCAGCGAGGCCCAGCCCCAGGCCGCCCTACTGCTGGCGCGGCTGAGCCCGTTCGTGGCTGAGCAGCCGCCACGTGTCCAGCTGGACATTTGCGGGCTGCTGCGGCTGGAGCGGTGCTATAACGGACAGGTGACGCCGAGACAGAATCGATTTCATCCGTCCGGCCCCTTCCAAAAACAAAAGTGGCCATCAACTCCTGATCGTCTCTGAGGATAGCTTACTGTAGGATTTGTGTATGCAGATAATGCCACTCTTCTTTTTGATGCTTTAATGTCTGTGTTTACTGCTTGCATTGATGGATACATCAGGCTTAAGCGAATCGGGCAAGCGAAGCCCTTCTTACAGGTAATAGCTCCTCTGCGCTGCCATTGATGATAAAAGGTGCACCTCTTCAATTTCGTTTCTAAAGTGTTGCGCAGATTTTTGCAGTCGTCAACTCGTAGTATTGTGCCTTTTGCTTAGAAGCGCCGTTCGTTTCAAGTTGCTAGTGCCGCAAATGCAAAACGATCACAGTGAATATCTATAGACGGCTTTGATATCCATCCTTGTCACCAAGGGCGAGTCACTTCTCGGCAAAGTCTTACGCGAGGCAAGTGCAGCCGTGCCTCCAGGTGCTTCAGAGGCAGGGCGGCAGGGGGCGGTCCTTCTATATCCTTCTGAAAGGCCTCGTCGAGGAAACGGTGCGCTTCTCTCTTGAATCGCCCCTTTTCTTCCCAGCTTCATCATGATCGATGCCGAATCCTCTACAGCCTCTTCGTCACGGAAATGTCGCGTACGGCACTTTGAAAGGCGATTGTACGTCCATCCTGCCATCTTCTGTCAATCTAGCAATGGGGAGCTTAATTTCGGAGCTTCGACGAAGTCACTTTCTTTCGGAGAGCGACGAAGTAGAACGTTTATATAGAGGATGTCGAGACTCAAGTTCAAAAGAACGAAAATGGCGCTCGGTTCTTCAGGTCGCCGCTGCCGACCGCTCGCGCACGGACCTCGTCCGCGCGCTGAGGCCCGGAGATTCCTTTGGGGCGGAAGCCATTCGCAAGCGGAAGTACACGTGTCCGACCGCCATCCAGTGCCAGAGCCCGTGCTACTTTCTGAAGTTGGACAAGGCAAGCCGCAACACTTTTAACGCTGCTTGGCTGCTCAAGCAGAATGAAGAGTCTCACCTCTAGAGGCTGTGGTTGCGTAAAAGTTTTGTCTCTTGTTTGTGGGTTGCGCAGGGCAGGGGTGCCTGAGCCCGAGACTTGGAAGCGGCTGGGAGAGTCGACAACAGCGTCTGGTTTAGGGTCGTAGCAAGGCAAAGCGCACCAGTTAACGTGGGACCGCCCTCTAGAAGCGTACCGTCTCGCTGAAGGAACTTCTTCATCACCTCGGTAGCCGTTTCAGTTACCTAACTTTCGTCGTGTTCTCTCACACCAGCCCGCCTTCCTGAAAGTGTTTGAGTCGCGGACGCTGGGCGAGCGCGGCCGCGTCGCGCAGTTCTTGTCAACCGTTCCCTGCCTCGGGGACTGCTCGCCCGCCCAGCTAGCCGAACTGGCGGCGGCAGCCGTTCCGAGCCGCCACAAAGGTAACAACCAACGAGATTTCTCGTGAATGCTATTGGCTGGGGCCCCGTTTGAAGGTCGCCCCATCCTCCTTCCAGTAGCTGAGATCGTATTGCTGGCGCGGTGATCTTTCTTCTCCATCACCGCAACTCACCTGAGCATTCTGGCCACCTATTGCCTCCTGCAAGATTGCAGATTTGCTTTCCATACTGTTTCCGTTCCGTATCCTAACAAACTCCCAATCAATAGAATCTGGCACCTTCGCGAGCATCGGCAAAATCTCAATTACATCACCCTTACCACAGCATTCATCCTTTGCGCTTTCCCTTTCCTTTCCAGCGGGCGCCCCTTTCGTTTTGGACGCAATGAAGGGCGTCGGCATTGTCCGGCGCGGACAGCTGTCCCTGTACGCCGGACTTTCTCCGATGGACGCTCGAGCGGGCGGAGCGCGCGGCGCGGCCGCGCGGCGGGCCACGTGGCTGTCCACCCTGGGGCCCGGGGCTGTGCTGGGCGTCGCGTCGCTGTCGCCCGAGTTGCGCCGTGACTGGTGAGACGTTCTGACGAATTCCCCCACTGGACCTCTGCATCTGAATCCTGAGTCGGCTTTCATGAGATGCAACTGAACAGCGAAGTGTTCTTCCTGACTGGCGGAGATTCCTCACATGCGTTTTTGAGAGCCCAACTTTTTGAGATTCCAACGTCGACGCAAAGTGTTGAGAACGACACTGCGTCGTCATTTTGACTGCCAATGCATATGCAGCCCTGACGCAGTGCTGCGTTTGTCTGCTCAGAACGGGCCGAATCAGACTGTTCAGATAAACTTGAATAGTGTCTCCCTTACGCCGCACGGAGGCTTTGTCGCCCATCGCTTATGAATCTTTGCCGGGCGGCAGGTATGCGGAGGCCGCCAGTACGGTGGACCTACTCAGCCTGCAGAAAGCGGACTTGAAGAGGATACTGGGTTCAGAGAAACTGCAAGCGTTGAGGGAGGAGTTTCGCTTCATGGTGAGCTTGTTGCATTTGTGTAGGGGTGTGGGTTCGTGATTGAATCCAGGAGCTGAGCTGCTTGTCGAAGGAGCAGCCTTACGTCTGCGCATTCAGTGGTTTGGATGTAATCGTGGGGGCGAGTCGAAATGTCTGAGAATGTTGAGCATTTACATTCTTTTCCGGTGTACCTCGTTCTGCTCTTCCTTGTGAGCTGCAGATTTGAAAAGTAAATCGGACGTCGATTCGAAAAGACTGCTGTCTATTGGATGCTCAGTTTTTCCGAGGACTTCGTGGCCCTCCGCACACTGTGATTACAAGACGCGATGCTTTCGGGCTTATACGCTGGCCGGTGCTTTGGCTGCAGGTCGATTACTTGGAAGGAAGACACGGGGAGTTTTCGACAGATGAGCAGCCCCCCGTGATAGAGGAGTCCTGTTCACACGATGAGCCCATGCTCACCAAAACGCGCTCGTTTGCAACGGCGACAAAAGGGGCGATGTGGGTCGAGCGAAGTAACAGCGTACTGTCTCACGAGGCCGTTAACGAGCGCACAGCAAAACGACCGGCAACGGCAGGCCCGGTACGTCGTACCGCCACGATGGCGGATGGAGAGCGTTCCCGACGGCCGCAGAGCGCTGCGCCAGGGCCCCGGAGAGGATCTACGGAAAGGTCCCCCGATCAGTGGTCGGGGTCCCAATTTTCGGCACACGTCATCTTTACCCCGGAGCTCTGCGACCCGGTCGATCGATCGAACGCTGCATCGGGTGAGCAGAGAGCGAATACAAGGGGAGCAAGGGAGGTCCGGCGGAAAGCCCCGGGGGCTCGTGTTGAGAAGATGGAGCTAGGATTGGCGTGGCAGCTGGTTCTCAGGGAGAGACAGAGGAGTATACGTTTGAACTTGCCTTCTAGTGAGAATGCATTTGTGGGACAACGGACGTAGAAGACTCTGACCAAGCATGAAGCTGCTCGGAGATGCCGCTTTCGATTGCCACTTCGACGTCAAAGACTGTCAACGAATCCCAGTTAGGGAAGCTTAAGCGTTTCAGACTAATATAGCTTGACCGCTGCCACAATGAAGCCAACTTTGTCTGGCCAAGAAAGGCTATGTACGTATAGCAGGCGTGAAAGCCTCGGTGTGATACGTCGTTCGTGCTGCAGCATGGCGCTTAAAGCTCGATCGATCACACGGACTGAAATACAGGATGCTTTCAGGATGATCAGAATCGTCATGTGCAGAGTAGCTGTAGAGAATCATGTCCGGTTCGGTTAGTTTCGAATATCTACATGAGTCAACACGCCTGATTTATGCACACATTTATGCACACAGCGCCCATGTGTTATAGACTGAAGTAGCAGTACGTTCGGATCTGCGACTTGTGACACGCATGCAATGAACTATTGAGGGACCATCGAGAAAACCCTCTGGTATATGCTCCACGAACTTATGGTTGGGCCATTAACAGTGGCTATTCGCTGCGCTTCCGATTCTCTGTCAACGTCAGAAGCTGCAAAATCGTCTCGTATAGGATTAAAAGAGATGTTGCTCTTCTGCAAGCCCACAGGCTCTATGCCTTTTGAAGCCCTGAGCAAGTCCTAAGAAAACAAAGAACTTTGCCTTGATCCGTCGAACGTGCAGGGAAGTACCTCAAATCTGCACAATTTTGCTACCTGGTAAACCCGTCATAGGCTTCGACCACAGTCATCTGACAAGCAAGTGGCCCGGCGAGCTCCCCTAGGGCCCATGCGTTGCTTCTTTCTTATCAAATATCATTGAGGAGCTGGCTCCTCTGGTGTTAGTATGCCCAGAACCTGCAGCGTATCAAGCAGATATGGGCGTTTACCACTCAGTAAGTATGGAAATCGTCATGACCTCATCTTAGAACATGGTTTTACTCCTTCATCTATGCTTTTGGGAGCATAACCAATCAAGTTCATCCACCACCATGCTACCAATGGCAATTACAGCAATGAGAAGGTGAACTCCAGTGCCAAGACACAAGCCAAGGCACAACAATTTGAAGTACCTCTCTTCGCTCACCTTTTGAGCGAATTCTTGGACAGCGGGGTCCTGCATAGCCAGGTCTAGCTCCTGCAAAGACAGGAACACTAATGAGCCCCAGGCTTGCCGCATCCACCAAAGTCGAACCCTGAGACACAAGTACATGTTTACCGTACGATGAACAGTGGTATGCTGACACGACTGAAAACGCGACTTGTTGAAAGCCTGGAGTCGTGCTTCTGATCTCATATCCATGCGCATTAAACCACTCACCTTCTCTGCCTCCTCGGCGCTGTCTATCTTCAAAATGAGTTTCTGGAGGGCCTCGTCTCTCAGCATCCGCCGGATCTCATCGGAAGTGGCTGCAAATGAAGCCAGAACAGGCAGCTGATTGCAGACTTTAACACCCATGCCAGGTCACTCATTGAAGTCCAATCAGTATTCCGTTTGCAGGAATCAGGCAAGAAAGCTGTCAGGGGAGTGATTGCAAGCAGGCAAAGATTGAGCAAGTATAAGGCATGTGATTGCCAATAAGGAGGGCTTTTCTGACCTAACGCTTCCAACTGGTCCTTGTTCAGCCGCGTTCCGGACTCATCGGTATCATTCTCAAACTGCCGGGGGGGCTGCCTCAGGGCCGCTTCCTCCCTGGCGACGTCATCCGGCTTACTGCACGGCACCTCCTTGTGCACCTTGTAGCACACCACCGAACAGCTGCACAAGCAGAGAGGGAGTGGCAGATGTTGTGCCGATTCTCAAAACCTGGCTTGTCACGGAAGAGGCTGTTTGCATATTGTGCAAGTATTGGCATTCCAGCACAGAGTGTTTCCTTGTGTAGGATAGACCTTGGAAAGAGATGGATGCATCTTGCCGGTATTGTCATGAGAAGGAGGTACTGCTCACTACGGACGTCGACAGACAGGACACTTGTAACCGGCTCCCTCCTTCCCACACACAATGCACTGTGCCACCATGCCACCCAGCGAAAGAGGTAGGTACTCAGTTGCTCATGAGTGTGCTAGCAACCCCGTTGTGGCCCCCCGAAGTGCAACAGCCCTGATGACAACCGTTCATCCCAACCAACCCTCTAGGATGGCGGACTTGCTCTTTTTGATTATCTCCACATCATCTACGGTAAGCTCCAAATCTTCTCTTCCACGAGTCAGAAAGTAAAGTCCTACTAAAGCGCGCTCCTGAAGGTGCGTTTGCAAGCTCGCTACTCTGCCAAGACAAGGGCGGAAGCTGGAGCCTGGAACAGCAGGGATCCCTTGGGCCGTTTGCGGATTTTTAACCAAGTAGTTTTCAATATCCGAACAGAAAGCGTGGTCGGTAAGGACAACCCGGTAGCCACGCAGCAAGTCGAATGCAGGCTGAGCTAGTCACCTCAAATTAAAGGCTTCAGCTCCAGGGATCCGGGGAACTGGCCGGGGGGGCAATATCCCCCTGGATCCAAAACTTATGGGTTTAAGACCTGCACATCAGCCGTACGTTTTCAAGTGTCTGCAGAGAGCTGCCTAGACTTCAGGCGCAGCAGAGATTCGAGCAGAGACCAGGCCATTGCAAGCTTGAAGTTGAAGGTCGAGGACGCAAATCTGTCTAGGACTATCTCAGGGGGCGAGCAGCATAGCACAGGTGCATAGAGGGCTTGGGATAAGATCTGCTGGTCGCCGAGCATGTCTCGCCGTCATGATTTGGAGGCAGTTGCAGCTGCAATAAGCGCCCTTGCAGCAGGCAATGGAGTTTTCCTTGGCCTGGGATTTGCTGTTGTTGCATACACCAGCTGGAGCCGCTCGAGACACTCTGCCGCAGCGTTGAAAAAGGTCGAGTCCACACCTGTGACGCCGCTGTCTGATGTCAAAAGTCTGCTGGAAGGGCCAGGCAAAGGCAACCAGTCCGGAAGCAGTTCGGAGGGTGCTCCTGCCAGGTATTCATTTGCCCCTAAGCTTGAAATTGACTTTCCTGAAGAACTGGCTGGTTGTGCACTGCTTTACGCCCGTGGATTATGTATCAAAAGGAAGCAATGAATGTTGTTGGCCAGTTTAATTCAGCGTCTGCTGCCACAACCAACTTGCTCCTTAACAGTCAGTTCATATCCTGGCAATGCCTTCAATAAGAACTTGAGGGCTTGAGTAACCTTTGGACCTGTCTTATCCAGGTCAGACAGCTCGGGCCACCTTGGACCATCAGACTTGTCAACTGGCCCAACGTTTGCAATTGTCCGGGGTGAAGTGCAGCCGAGGGCTGGGTGGAAGTTTTACGGAGGCCAAGATGAAGTGCCCTTGAGAAGCGAGTTCGCACCAGAAGAAGCGGCCAGATGTGTTATTACAAGGAAGACACAGACGGTAAGGAGAAGATAACATAACGCTGACTGGTTGATAGGTTCTTTGAAACCTTGTCCTCATTCTCCTTGATGTTATTGCTCCAAGCAATGGACTGCTGAGCTGCTTTTGAAACGAGGACAAAGGACACATCTCAATGCTCCTGTGCATCTACTAATCAGGATTTAACATTGCTGGAGCTCTTTTGTCCCTATGACGAGAGTTTATAATTTGTCAAAAGCTGGGGGCAGAGAATGTAAGGAGCGCAGTCCGTCAACAAAATTGCACGCTTTTGGACTGTCTTCTGCCTTGGTTAAGTGGAGTTTCCATGGACTACTCTCATGTCCATCTGTCTTCCTGAGTCTGATACAAGAAGAATTAGCCCAACACTGAGCATTCTATGCTATTATGTATCATTCTAGAAGCCCTTAACGTCGTGGAGAAATTATTACAATCTGCCTTCAATCCAAAACCTCACTGTAAGTTCGTCTTTGCTGCCTGCAGTATGGACACATTGAATTGGATGGAAGCTTCCGAGTTAGAGAAGCCCCAATGAGTGACCTTCTCAAACAGGTGAGCTGCAGGGGTAATCTTGCTCTGTGCGCGCGGATTGACAGTTTATGCCATTTTGGTTAAATTCTGGGCCTCAAAATAGAGCCATTCGCACATTCTAGCCAGATTGACTGTTCTGATTGGCTGCCAGTTCTCAACGCAAGGAGATTTTGCATTTACGCTAAGATGACAAGCAGCACGCCTGCTGCTTTTAAATTGCGCACTGAAGCGAGTTTATGCTTGCCCTCCAGATTCCATTTGTCTTGAGAGACTCCCGGGCGCGAGATACTCGTCTTCACGTGGACTGGCTTGGGTCGCCCAAGGATGGGTTGCCCCTCGAGTGCGTCTACCGACACTTCCAGCCAGGGGCGGCGTCAGGAACGCAAGCCTTCATCTTCCTCGTGTTTGGCCAGAGCTGTCCGGTCAGTGGGCCCTTCGTTTCCCTTAGAAATTAACCTCTCAGTAAACGCTCCCCGTATACCTCTCGAAAGCTGTCACACGCCTACCAACAATTGCCCGTAGTTTGCTGCTATTAGCAGTAGACCGCTAACATCAGAAGGCTGTTGCGGTAGAAGAGTGATTCACAAACGTCACCAGAAGTCAGCGGGGCAAGGCTCCTCGAAATAAGTGATTGCTTCTTGGTGAAGGTGCCAAACCAGCCCATCCCTAACCGCTGGTTTCGAGGGTGATGCGCTCCTCATTTCAATCTGTTTATGCTGCTCAATCCATGTACGACCACGCGCTGTTCGATAGTCTCTCCGATGACGTGGACAATTCACTGATATTCTCTTCTTCGCCTGCAGGTCGGGGTTGTCACAGAAGAACGAGTCCTGAAAGTGGGGACAGAGTTGACGGCCCTTGGGCATCTGTACAAGTCGGGAGATGGATTGAGCATTCGGCCAGCTGGCAGCATGCCTCTCTTCCTGTGAGCTCTCTTATCTCGAATGCAGTGCAATCGTGGAATGTCACATCTAGAGAGCTATTCGCCAGGCGTCTTCATCCAATTGTAACAACAGACTTTCTGAATGTTAGCCTCGCTTAAGCAAGGTGCTGTTGGATGAGATTTATAACACAGTTTCGCTATTTTCAGATTGCTCGAACACACAAATACATCGCCCTCTGCTGTGCTTACTCGAGCTGCTGCTGTGGTGCAACTCACACACGTTCCCACAAGTGACGCGCTTTTCTCTAATACAGGACACGGATGACCAAGGACGAGGTCGTCGCAGCTCTGAAAATCGAACGCCTGTTCCACCGCTGGACTGGGATACTGACGGGTCTTCTAGCAGGCGGCATCTTTGCATATGCGACGGGGCGGTTATGCTTCCGGGTGTACAGGGTAAGGATAGGCCCCTGCTTCAGTTGCTACTCTTTGCTGTGTATCCACCGGCAGATTGATCTGACGTTCTTGTACAGCGTTATTGTACCCGGAAGGCTGCTGGATCCGCTCCTTTCAGCACCATACGGACAACTGTGTTTCGAAGCGTTTCTTTTCGGGGCCTGCACGTGGTCTGGTCGCTCTGCCCCACAGAGCACGGCGCGACTGACACCGGCGGCCTCTTGGCCGCTCCTGCTCACACTGCCCCTTGTAATTTCTCCAGGAGTGGAAGCGACGTCGGAACTTGTACCGAAACCCGCGGCCCCCCGGGTCTTCTGTCGCGCAGCAGGCGGCAAGCCCACCAGAGCCCGTCAATGACGACGAAGATGACGTGGCACCGCCAGGAGAGGCTTGCGTGGTCTGCTTGACGAGGACGCGGAGAGCCGTCTTCCTCAACTGTGGGCACCGAGCAGCTTGCTTCCCTTGCGCACAGCGTGTGGCCGATGGTCGGGGGATCTGCCCTCTGTGTCGACAAGCTATCGTGGGGGTTGTGCGCGTTTATGACCCCTGATTGGAGAAGGTTCTCGGAAGCTTATGCTTTGCAAGGGCAGCTCGTAAGATGCGCTTACCCAGGAGCTTGACTCATCCCTGTAAGGGAGCTTTGCTCGGACGTGCTGATTGTCAAATCGTTGCTGAATCTTATTTGATAGCGGTGTATCATGTTGAACGAGTCGTCTTGGACTCTTTGAAGCAAGTACAATGGATCAATATGTGTACTTTACAGGCAGATTCTGACAGAAGGGTATAGAGGAACTAGTCGTTAGGGAAGCGTCTAACATAGTGCGTACCAGGTTAAGCTAGTGCCCGGCGACACTCGGTTGAGCTGTCTCTTTCATCGAAATATGCTCGTGACTGCACGTCGGATGTGCGAGCGTGCAGTTATGCAGCCAAATGAGGTTTACAGTTGAATTTCTAGGACCATCGTTCACCAATGCGGTTGATTGCCGAAGTTTGTACATCCAACTTTACTTCATTCTGGATATGAGTCCGAACTTGATGTGAGGCAACACGCATAACTACGTGCGTCAGTGCAAGGCTTGATGCGATCACGCGCCTGCACGTTGACTGTAATGGTCCGGTCGGACGGTCCATGCATAGGTAGATAGCTCGATATCGATGATATCATGTATGCTGGTCCTGATCAGGTCTGCATGACTTGTGCAGGGTTTTCTTGCGATCGAGCTTGGTTGTCAAAATTTTGCCAAATCTGGATCCGGATCGGGTCGATGAGTTTTTCAACTAAGAAGTCTGCAGCCAAGGTGGCTTACTTCCACACGTGCTTAAGCTCCCTCTTGAGCTTCAAGACGCATTGGCTCGCAGGCATTGGCTGTACATGTTGTGAAATCCGGTACAAAGCGGGTTTCGAAAACCTTCAAACCCCTCGCGCCGCCTGTCCGAGTCGGCACGGTCGTGGCGCGGCGCGCGGCGGGCCCACTGCAGGCTCCAGAAAACAGTACTTCACGTTGACGTTCGAAGTTAAATCTGGTTCAACACTGCTGACTCACTCAGTCTAAGAGACTCTTATCGTCTGTGTCAGCTTCAGGTGGCTTCAGGGGCCCTTCTTCTCTGGGACTGCATGACGATGGGAGCATGACTGCCACCAGGAAAGGCTCAGCGTCTTAAATGAATGGACCATGCACGAGCAACACGGACCATCTGTTCAGTTCCGCGCTTCTGCCCCGATGCTTTGACGACAATGATGACCATGCAGGATAAGCTTAAGCGTTGTGAAGACATGCGGCTAACTTTCAGTGTTGGAACCTTCGCGCTTGGCGGATGGATCTTCACGCAGAAGGAGGTTTGTTCAAAAGGAAGCAGCCTGGAGTCAGGGAGGGTTTTATGACAGTGTGTGCCAGGGTTTTTAAAGCTGGAAGGCTCAGAAGATCCGCAATTGTCCAGGCGTGATCCAGCTCCAAGGTCCATCATCAAGCCTCTGATGCTTCTGAGGTCTCCGGTGCAGTACAAGTGATTGGATCTGCTTGCAGAGGCTGCAAAGGACGGCATGGCTCACCATGAGCGAATCTACCAGGTAAGAAGAAGGTCCATGTTCAGATTGCGAGTAGTGGTAGGGAAGGACAGCAATGATCCCTTCTAACAATCATTGCAATCTAAGATGGCCTTTCAATTGGCATCATGCACTGCTTTCAAAACCATGAGGAATGAACTGAAGCTTTTAAGAGTGCAGCTTGGTCTGTTTTAACCTGGTCAGCACTTCCATCTAGCTCTCGCAATTTCGTTCCAAAGCGCTGCTTATCTCCTAGATGCGCTGTTCAAGCAGATCCTGAACTTTGTCATTCAGAGTTATGCAGCAGTGGGACAGGCTTACTTAAAGCTGTCCGGTCAATGTCCTGGATTTTCAAGTGTGTAAGAATCACCATTTCCAACAAAGATTCCTCTCTTAGAATCAAGTCAACTTAGATTCCAAGATTCTGAAAGGCATTCCACCTGCACCTTAGGAATGGAGCGTACTCTCAAAGCTAGGTGCCAGGGTTCTCAAGCCAGCTGGATGGGTTTGTGACGAGGAATGAAGCCCTGAGCTATTGACAGTAGAGATCTTCTGGTAGGTCTTACACAATCCTGAGAAAATGAATGATCATCAGCCGCACGAAAGTGAGAGCATAAAGCAGTATCTTTGTCACCATGCCGTTCACATGAGGCCAACTTTTAGGGAAAGAGCGCAATGATTATCCAAGATGTTCGAGCTGACTTCTCCTTTTCTTGCTGACCTCTCACGACCAGAGGAATTTTCCCAACAGTCTGGGGCTGGGGTTAAAGCAGGCTGGCCTTGCGCGGATCCTGCCTTGGAGAACGTTAAATTGTCTCAATGATTAGAAAGCTATGTTTCAAGAAATGCATGTGGACTTTTGAAAGGGTCTTGCCTCCTTTAAAGCCTTATTGAAATGTCACACGCTGACTGTATCTTCGTTCGAACGATGCTTTTATCGAAGTTCGAACGATGCTTTTATCGAAGCTAGATGTGCCCTAACTCTATCACACATACTTGCAGCGGGGAACACGGGATCCGTTGGCCGAGAGAGCAAGATTGGAAGGCGAGGCTGCGGCAGAATGGACGGTCAGCATCTTCAGGATGATAAGAGATCTGCTCACGTCCTCTGCAAGGATCTTCGGCATCCTCTTCGGTGCGGAGGACGCCCGAGAACCCCAGCAAGTGAGTAGGATTCCGGTAAGGCAGGTTCGTATCCGGATATCAGTCTAGAGAAAGCACAGGGCGAGGTCTTCTGAAGCCTGGATTCTTAGTGGCAAAGCGGTACTGGGTAGCGTTATGAGCATTGGTTTGGTCTTGGGGGTATTTCCAGTGCTTGATTATTGTGGATCGAACTTTGGAGCATGATGGCAATCTCTTGTGAGTGCTCTTTTCAACACACCTGTCCAAGATGGTTGCTACTGGAAATATGTGAACCGTTTGGTCGTTCAGAACCCCAACCTCAGTCCTCAAACGAGACTGCCTGAAATGGTTACAGGATGTTAGCAGAAGAGCCCGCAGCTTCTCAGAGCACAGCAAAAGCTACGCTTCTCCAGCCCTCCGTAATGAGTCTCGAGACACTAAAAGACTTGGTTCCGATACCCAAAACCTACGTCTCCTGCAATAAGTTGCACTTCCAAATGTTAAAACCTCTCCCAAACCCCCCATTACAAACTTATGCAGGCCCGCGCCCCGCCGCCCCCCCCGGAACAGCTCGCCGTCGCCGCGGGCAAGGCGGCCGCGGAGGAGACCGTCGCTCTGGTGCGCAAGGCGGGCCGCCTCATCCGCTTCGTCCTCCCCAGCGGCACCGCCCCCCGCGGCTTCGCCCTGCCGAACGTGTACCAGGGCGCGGCGCTCGACCTCGCGCGCCTGGCGGAGAAGGCGCTCGCGCTGTCGCGCGACACGGTCGACGAGCTGGACACGTGGGCGGGCCACGTGTCGGTGGAGCTGATTGACGAGCTGCAGGGCCTGCGCAACGAGGAGGCGCGCGAGCGGGCCGCGGAGGCGATCGAGATGCTGGGCGACTGGGCCTTCGAGGCGCTCATCGTGGCGCTCAACCGGGTTGTGGACGTGAGGATCGTTCCCCTCTGCTCGAGGAATCCTGTCTCATTAGCCCTTTCTAGTGTTGAGGTCGCCAGCGGGCTAGTGAAAGAGCTGGCCATCTCGGCACATAGGTGTCTTCAATGGCAATCGTATTTTGAAGGATAAGAGTGCCTTAAACTGTGGGTGCAGAACTCACCGTAAGTTTCCGTGAGTTATCTTTCTTACAAGCCTCCCTCCTCGGCCCGTCATTGCGTTGTTCTGACTGTTTGCTACAGACTCCTGTTTCGGGAGATGCGATCAGGTAGCTGATGCTTTCCTTTGCTGTATCGTTTGGTAAGGTCTTCGTGCCGTTCGTCATTCTTTCTAGATCTGCGCAGAGACGAAGAGTGACGGAAGGCAAGCATCTGTGAGTGGTTGAAACAGGATAGAGCTTCTTGAGATTCAAAGCCCACGGTTGCATACCGTGCGAATGCAACGCATCTTTCTTTCGCCGAAGGTTCTTTGACAATCGTTCGGAAAGTGTCCCGATCTCCTGTTTTCTAAAGTCCTGTTCAATCTACATCAGCCTTTCATCTTGGGCGTGCTCTTTCCTCGCTCTCTTTTTGATACAACCACAGGTTCCTTGTTGAGTGCCTTTATGGTAAAGAGAGTTGTCGCGTCAGCATGTGCACGGAACGTCTTCTTCGCATCTCCATTCATTTTGTTCGCTTCCCCTCTCAGGACCTGGCTCGCCGCAACCTCCTCCGGACGTACTCCGTCGCCGACCGCGCGGCCGCCCCCGCCGCTACCGAGAGAGAGGACGACGCCGTCAGCCCCTCCGAGGCGTGCGTCATCTGCTACCAGAGAGCGCGCCGCGCGGTCTTCCTCTACTGCGGCCACCGCGCAGCTTGCATGACGTGCGCAACGGCGGTGGCGGCAGGACCGCGCAGAGCCTGCCCGCTGTGCCGGCAAATGATTCACGGCGTCGTCCGGGTGTTCGATCCTTGACAAGGCCAGCTGTCGGTGCCTGATGCTTCGTCGATGAAATGAACCCCGCAGTTCTTCATTCAAGGTGGTTTGGTCGCGACAAGAGCTGAGAGATGATGGAGAACTTCCTGTGAAGGCTATGCGGATGAAACTGCTGAAAGTCCTGAACTTGACGACGTTTATTTTCGGAGAAGAGCGCAGATCTTCAACTATGTTAGACCATTGGTGAAGTGCGAGAATGTGTTACGGACGTGCTTCGCGTTTTAGAATGACAAGGAGACTTACGGTACTTTTGCGTCAAACTTTGCTACAATTGACTTTGTTTCGAGTGCAGTCTTACTCAGTGAGTGAGGTGTTAGGCGTCGGTAGGCAAGAGTATTAGAACTTTGCAGGTTCTTAGGTGCAAATCAAAGACTTTTTTCACTCACAATATAGATCGCAATACTATCTCCGCAGTTGAAGCATCTCTTACTTCGATTTCAAAGCCTGAATTAGTAGTCACTTAGTGCTCATTCGGGGGTTGCACTCTACCCAGAAGACACAGAACGCGAACTTTAAAAACTATCTAGAGACGAATCTTTCAGAATGGACTATGTTCGAACATAGTCCATTCATATGAGAGATCTCTCGAATATGTCCGACTTCGGAAAACTTTGCATCAGAATTGGTTGCATTGATCGGATGGCGCATGGATGTGGCGGCCATAGATTCCAGTGATTCCTGGTCCCATCTGTTGGCAATATATTCAATGTGATGCGATAGATAACCGCAGTTACTACATGGACGACCGCCGTGTGTATAATTTCACTTTCTGCGTGGTATCGACGAGCTAGGGAGAGCCTGGCTATCGGTGCCCAGCAACCAGGCAAGTGGATTGCACCACATGATACGCTCCTCATATGCTTACGGACAGCCGCGAGTCAGCATCACTCCTAAATACGTACAAGCAAAGAAAAGGATCGAGCGCGCGACAAACAAGTTAACGTACAGCGCTCATCCATGATCTGCATGCTGCGCGCACACTGAACGTGATTCTGTTGCACATGGCATACAGGGTCAAGCTGATAGAAGATTATCCATGCGCGCGTTTGCTTCCAATAGTGCTAAGCGGCGCCCGCATGCGGCTACACGGTGTCATACTAAGTATAGCACAAAGCTAGCCGCCGCTAGGGAATCACTCATGATGAGCAGTCTTTCAGTTGAAGCCGCTTCACAGAGCTGAGCGTGTGACGGTTTGTAGCTCAGGCCCGCCTTGATGGTGAGCTAGATAGAGCACCTAAATGAACCGTTGTAAGAGCTAGAGTAGCTTCATGGTCAGCTTTAGGTATCTCCAAATCCGCAGATGAATTATCTAGTAATGTTATGGTTGCAGGAGCACGTTGAGTTTGTGCGGCTGCCAAACGCAAAAAGGCCCGCGCCGCCAGCCGGCACCTACACTAGACTCCTTCTGAGCTCCTACATTGAAGAGCTCAGGCTTACGGTGTATGCAACGCGCCAGTTTGGACACACATGCATATGCGCAAATGTCAGTGGCGGGATGCAACTCTCAATCTCATGGATTAGCGGACGCTTCCAAGGGACACAAAGAACGCAACAACCATACAATTCAAGCGCATTTTCAGCAAAAGGGTGAGTAAAGCGCAGAATTGACTTGATCCGTCAGATCCTGGTGACGTGTTACGTCCTTGTGCACAGGATATCAAAGTCGTCTGGAGCGATCTTCGAGATCCAGGCCGAAAGAGTCCGCTTCAGCTCGGCCGCGTTGCTGGAGGCTAGCTCGTACATCGACGCCAGGTTGAGGACGAGAGTTTCGTTGAGCGCTTGGAGGGGGTGCTCCCGCAGAGTGCGCTCCAGGACGGCGATCGCGCCAACAAGGTCGCGGGAGTACATGAGGCAGAGCGCCTTGTTGTTGGCAGCAACTGTAGGGCGACAAACCAAAGAGTTTTGCAGCCAACGAGGACTGTACAAGAGGCTTATCAAACGGCATAGTCCGAGGTGCACCGAAAAAGATCATACCAGTAATCCTGAAACGCAATATTGAGTAAGGAATGACGAAGCTGCGATCGTCCACCGTGGAGCCGGGAGACAGGGTACAAAAGCTTGCTAGGCTCGTATTGTTGGGTTCTCGTTCTCGTCACCACGTGGCAGGCTTACCCGCGTTCCAGGGCTGGGCAACTAGTATGAGGTCCCACTCCTCCAGCGCTGCCGAGTAGTTCTTGAGCGCGAAGTGCAGGAGGCCCCGGTTGCGGTGCAGCAAAAGCGACGATTGCGCGGCATCGCCCATCAGCTGCTCCGACCGCGTGAAGGTGGCCCGGGCAGCCTCCAAGTCGCCCATCTACAGTTCAAGAGGGGCCGGATGAGTTCTACCGGTCTGGCCGGAGGCCGATTGGGAGTAGTACCGACTTTGGGTTAAGTTACGGTGTGTCGACTTAGGTCATGCGCAGTCGGGTGGCGTTGGTTTGGGGGTTAACAGGGTGGGTACGAGTTTGAAGAGTGTTCATAGGTTTAGACTCTTGATCCGTTAAGCTCGGGTAACTGATGTGACTCAGGATAGAAGTGAGACTTATCGATGCGGGGCCCCCTGTGCAGCATCACACAGAATGAAGAATCCGTCGTTGATTGAAGGAGAAGCGAACGAGGCTTTGTCCAGAAAGAGTGGACCAAGCCTGATGAACAGTGGTCGTTTAGCTCCGGACATTACACTCTCGCAATATGAGCACCCGTACAACCGTCGACCGCCAGAGCAGTTGTCGCAGTGTATTCTCGTTCGCGCATCAGCCATCCGAACAGCAAGCCAACCCCCCGGAACAGAGTCCTCCCTCAGAAGCTGCTGGAGGCAGGTTCTCCAAAGCCAATAAGGGACTTTTCCAAACGCATCCCAGCCTCACCCCACCTGCAATGGACGCATCTTGCGAAGACAAGTAAAAGGAAAAGATAAAGGACAAGAAACCAAAATGTTCAAGTTTCACAAGCAGAGTCCTCCCAGCGTCGCCTCACCTGCAGTTGGACGCACCCGAGCATCGCCCACACGTGCGGGTCTTTCCCCCGCTGCCGCAGCAGCGCGTGCAGCCAGCTGAGCGCCGCCGCAAAGTCGCGCTGCTGCAGGTGCAGGTTCAGGATCGATAGCAGCACCACCTCCTGCCGCCGCCGCCACGTCCGCACCTCCGCCGCGCCGGACGTCGAGGGGGGGGCGCCGCTCGAGGCGTCTGCGTCCCCTAGCAGACCGGTGGAGTCTGCAAAAAGGGGAGCTGGGTCGACTTATTGATGGAGGAAAGGGAAGAAAAGAAAGGTGACCTCCGAATTCACACTCGGAGGTACGAGGAGATCAATGGGCTCTCATCCCACGGGTTGTGCAGAAAAAGCGATTCCCTGGGGTTGGCAAGAGGAAGCTATCCAAGGCGCTCGCTTCTCCCGCAAGCTGGGAGGATCCTGAGGGGGCAAAAGGCTTCAAAGGGATAAATAGGGCATCCGCACTTGGCATTTTTCGGTCAAAACGGAGCCGGATCGGGCTCAGTTCGGACATTTTGAGCCCGAGCCTGATTGATTTCGAAGCGAGTCGACATCACACCGATCAGGCTCGGGCTCAATTTTCCGGGCCCAAAAACCATGATTTAGTTGACGGGGCTCGGACCCGAAAGTAACCGATGCGAACAATACGGGTCAAAACTGAGCCCGATCCAAGATGCTTCTGGTTCCCGACAAATCACAGGGTCTGCCAAGAACAGCGGATACGCTTTGAGGTGTATGAGAGGGCAAGAAAGGACAGAAAAGACCGCGAAGAGGAAAAACCCCTGAGAAACGGTGCCTCGTCGGATCCTTTCGGTGGCTAGACACGAAAGCAAGCCTGACAATTAGTCAGCTGAACCCGTCAGCAGCAGCTTCAAGCTGATTCCTACTGGTTTTTACATACAGGAACACCTAGATCATTCTCCGAAGTTGCCCTCTCGAAGGGCTGTGCGAATCTGCACATCCGCTCACCCGTTTCAGGTCGCTCCCCACTGATGCTAAGCCCCGCCAGTTCGCCCGTCAGAAAGTCTTCCCGACCGCTCACACCAACATCGCTCGCTGCCAGCCAGTCCCCCGGGGCAGCGTTGTCGCCAGCTAACAGCGCAGCGCCACCTGGCACTGCCGCGGACCTGCGGGCAACTTCCACCTGGGTACGGAAAGACATGACATCAACAACCTCTTGAGTCCGATTTGAATTGGAGGGAAATAAATCCATCCTCCGCAAGAAGATCTCCTGATGGGGAAACATCAACTTCTGAATACAGTGCAAATCGAGATTGTAAGCAGGTTGCACTGTGCCTCAGCCTTGAGGCGTTCCAGAAGGTCGATTGTGGGACCAAGGAGAGAGGTGTCATTGGAGGCTCTTCAAATAGTCTGAACCAAAGCGGCTCTCAACTTTGGCATGCCCAGTGGCCCTATGAACGTGACAGTATCACATGAGAACAACCACGAACAAGAAACAGGAAACAAGAAGGATCAATGAGGAGAAGAGAGAAAAGAAATCAAACATAAGCAGAGGAACTAGGTGCGGCTGACCTTGCAGAGCTCCAGGAGAGAATACAGGCGGTCCATGGTCGCCCCCGCCTGGCCGAGGCGATGTGGCAGCTCCGCGTGCAACCACCTCAGCGCAAACGGCACAAACGAACCGCTCCGCTCAGGATACTCTCCCGGGTGCTCCTCGTACCGGAAGCGAGGGCTGCTGATGTCACCGATGCTCCGGAGCTCGTCGGCAGCCGCGCCGTACATGCGGAGCTGTTGTGTGGAGGGGGAGAGAAGTTGATGTTAGTGGCATATGTATGGGAAGGGGGAGTTATCTCAAAACTCGGTTGGTGAGGTTGCGAGGCAGCCTTTGGAAAGACGATTTTCCAGAGCCGTCGCTTACAGTGCGAGTGGTAGGATGTGCTACTGAATGTTCCACGAAAATTGATTCTCATGCAAGCGTCTTGTTTGAGTTGTGGCGCCCAAGCCCAGATGATCATGACAGAAGGGAGCCGGGAAGCAGAAGGCGCCCGAAATGATGCCTTGACACGCAGACAGAAGCTTGGACCACTGAATGCACCAGATCTTCTCGGGTGCCCGTGGTGGGGGACCCATTGATTGGTGCTTTCAAGACCAAGTGTGCACAAATTCTCCTGGCGCAGCTTTGATTTGATGATCATGGAAAACAGCATAGCAAAACACCACCAATGACCTTCTATGCAGAAAGAGACGCCTGCATTTCCACCCTCCGTCGATTGCTCCAAAAGGAGCCTTCCATGCATTTAGCACTTCAAGACAGGACAAGAATGGTAGTTAGAATCAAAGCCCATTCCTAGACGCCTCACCTTGACCAGCGCCAGCACATTCCAGGTCTGCCACACCAGCTGCTCCGCAGGTGGCCCCGCCTCCGCCCTCTCCTTGAACTTCACCAAAATGGAGCGCCATGCCCCCTCCCTCGCCAATTGAGCAACCCCCTCCAAGCTCCCAGGCACCTCCCCGATCGCTCGCCTTCGGAAGCTACTGGGAAAAGTGGCCTCCTTGACGGGGGTCTGTGGCTCGGAAGTGGAGGGGGAGTCGACTGGCACCCCCTCCTGCAAGGGGTGCGAGGCGACAGCATCGCGAGAGAGGGGGCTGCCTGAAGCGGGAGCGCTCATTGTGCGAGGAAGTGATGCCGCACGGGGCTCACGTCAACTTTCATAAACAGAGAGGTAGCCCCTAGGCCTCAGCTGGTTTATGGGCGCTCTTGAATCTCCTTGCTCTGACTCAAAACTTTCAACGCCCAGCCGGGGCCTTGCAATGTGCATGCAGAGCAATGTTAGATACCGTACCAGCGTTTAATTTCGTCAGGTTCGACGCCAGATAATTAAATATGAAACGTTTGCGGGTTTCGGCAGCCCTAGCGTTACCTGCTAAACAAAACCATTATCGGTCCATTACCGCCCAGAATATTTTCCAGCGGAATTCGTCAGGCCAAATAATCATTTAATATTTACCCTATGTGTTGTAAGTTGTAACTTGCTACGGGATTTTGTGCTGATTTTACAGGGATCTGCAAGATGCCCAGTTACCCAGTATGAACCGAAATATCATCTAACGGCTCATAGTGCCCAAAGCTTTCATCGAGGAAAATATGACCAATCAGGTTCTTTCTAGAGGCATGCAGAATCTGAAAATCCAATGAGTTTTGGAAAAATATGCTCCTGTAGGCTGTAGTATGTACCGTACTACAGTGTACAGTACTTTGCCGGACTAGGTACGATACAGCAGTGCTCGAGTGGTGATTCAAGATTGTTTGGGCAACTTTGGGGTCTTACCAGTTGGGACTGCCTGGAAGTTTTGAGACCCAAATGCAGCCTCTCGTGCCAAGCACACGGGTTGAAGCTCATAAATCCTACTGATGACCACCAGGCCCACACGACGATTGAAGTCTAAGTTTACCAGACTTTATTTGATTTTGAAATAGTTTCGACGCCACCGACCCACTAAGTTACTTCCAAGTTCCAGTGCTTTCCAAGGGAAGCGCTTGCTGCTTTCAATACCCAGTAGTCACTACGATGTGCATTTGGTAGATGTACGCGTCAACCCGATCGGTCAGGCCACTCTGCTTCTCCTATAGGTAGGCCTAACTTGCCACGAGCTCTTTGATGCAACAAGGGGGCATTATGTTAGGTATGTACACAGTCCCATATGCGCATGCTCGAGGACAAGAGCTGAGCGCGGTTCATGTCGTTGCAGAACTCCTCACTGGCAAGCAGAACTCCTCACTGGCAACTTTGAGAAGGGTCTGAAATGTGTTGATCCAGCTACACGAGCAACAAAACTTGACATGCGAGGACATTGGCAAGGAGGGAGGCCTAGCTGTATTTATAATTGTCGGTATGTTTGTCAAACAGTATCAAGCAAGATCACTCGGTTTATTGGGGGCAGCAACATATGCAATCTGCACAGGCTATAGCCACGGTCCATTGATTGGATACAACAGATGAGACCACTAGAGTGCAAAGCTGGTTTGGCAGCACCTTTTAAGATTGAATCAATTTTATTGCTCTAACTCATGTCTTGACAACGTCACTTTTGTCTTGATGTCCAACGGGACTGAATGAAAGCCCTTGAATAGTGGGGCACAGCGGGTGAACTCTCCATGGAATCAAATCAATTTGCGAGCGAGGCCTAGCCTGATGATCAAATTGGCTCAGGTTATGGTACACAAAGCTACTCCTCCTCCAACCCAACCGACTTACAAAGCATCTCAACCTAAGTTTCTCGATTGATCTCAAAAGCAATGCGCTCAACGGCAAAACCGCAGACTCTCCTAACTCACAAGCTCCAGCATTTTGCTCGCGGATGCGACCGCAGGGATCCTCGGGCCCAACGGCCGTTGTCCACTCTTCTCAAGGCCAAAATGGCGCCATAAAATGGCCTCCACATCGTTCGGCTCCACATGGGTGTGCAGCGTCGAGCTCGTTCCTTCTGGCCGTACTTTTACATTAGGTCCAGACCCGCACTTCCCTAGGCACTTGCAAGGGCTGGCCTCAACAGCAGACCCTGCAGGCAACGCCGCATTCACCGCTTGGAGAATGCCCATACCCCCATACTTCCGGCACTTGCCGCTCATGCACACTTCCACCTTCCCCGCTTTGACCGCTGACTTCGCCGCTGCGACCCTCAGCACATCTGTGCTCGTCATTACCCCGACAGCCGCAGCCTCCCTTTGAAGACCGTCGACGGCCCCCATCCGGTCCATCATCAACGCCCCCGCCCTCGCTCGAAGCCCTTTCAGGCCCTTGCTCGCTGCCTTCCTGTCAGCCTTCCGCCGCTTGGCCTCCAGCTTCATGGCCTTTCGTACGCTCTTTCCCATCCCGTCGTCACTACTGCTGGAGGAGGAGCTGCTGCTGCTGCTGCTGCTTGATGAGGACGATGAATCCTTCATCTTGCGCATGGCCTTCTCCATGCTGTTCAGCTGCTTCCGCATCTCCCTGACCTCTGTGGACAGCGCCAGAAAGCCCTCCTGCAGAACAACAGAGTTAACAGGCATGTTAGAACTCAAAGATGAATGAGACCGGGGAAGGTGGAAAAGATTCAAAGGTTCAGAGGCTTTGATTGCTGTGGTTAGGATACAAACAGAAATGGCTGTAGCCTCTGACGACTGCAGAAACCCTTCAACAGGAAGAAGCAGAACTTCCCTGCGTACTCACTGCTTTGAAACCAAGCTCAAGACTGACAGCCGCAATAGCGACATCCAAAAGTACACATGGGTTCTTGGTCAGCTTCACTTAAGGAGAGCGCAAAGGACACTCCAGCTTCATCAAAATTGAATGGGCCAACTCATTGATATTTCTTTTATGAATAAGCAGCATTGTCATCATCGACAGCGTTGATCTGACCGACCAGACTAATGTGCAATGGGGAGAGAGTACTGCAAACAGATGGGTTTACACCAGTAACCTGACACCTAGCATGAAAACACGCAGTCTTAAGCCCTCTCGCTAGGCCAGCAAGGGGTGCCCAATCAGCTCCCATCGGCTCTCATCGACTCTCATCAGCTTCCAGCAACCAGAGAGGCTGACACGTTGACTGTGAAAAGTAACAGATATGCCCCCAGCTAGTGGAACGTGCTCCACCTCGCAATATGAGCGGGTTCACCTCAAATACCACCCCAATGAGTACAAGCGCAAACTCTGTTCACTCACCTGTGTTGGATGGCCTGCAGCCACATCTTCCGCCCGACCAAGATCTCTGGCCCTCTGATAGATGTCGTCGAGTTGGCCCTCTCGCAGAACCGCCGAGGCCGTAACGCTCGTCCTCGTCAGCCCTCTCTTGCCAACAACAGCACCACTGTAGAACTCCTCATGCCCTGTCTCGGCAAACAAAGGAGCGGTGGCTCGCCGCCGGAAGCCTGGACTTCTGAGGTGAGTCCTGCCACTAGTTGAACAGACCCCAGGCATTCCCTCGTCTGCCTGGCTCCGCATAAGTGGGGCAGGGCCAGCCAATCGCTCCCCATTCCGTCGGCCTGCTTCCAGGCTCCGCCCAACAATCGTTGCATGGACTGAAGTGACTCGATCAACCGCACCCACAAAAGCCATGGTTCAACTCGGTCTCCGACCCCCAAGCCTGGATGTTTTTGGTGGGAAGATGAAATGGCAGCCAGAAGCACGTGGAGATTGCTTTCCAAGAGACGTGTGGGAAGGTGCCGAAGCCCCTGCTACGTTCACTTCCAAGCTCTTAAGAACTGCTCTAGGTACCTACATGGAAAGGTTAAAATTTTCGAAATGGTCTGGGCAAAAGATGGCGCCCCTCAAATGCTGACCCTCAGCCTCATGCTCGTCCACCCTCTGGAGTCTGCACAGCCTGCTCCCCGAGGAGGACGCCCCTGATGGTTTTGACCAACGCGCTGGAAGAGTCAAGACCATCGCCTCGCTGACCAATCGGCTGTCCTCCGTTGCGCAACAACTGTCCATCATTGACCGGTCAGCATCTTCAGAATCGGTCCCCTCTAACCCTAGTCAGACGCCCGAGATATGTGATTGACCCCCTCCAAAGACCCAAAAAGCGGCCGGGACATGCGGCCGGTGTCATCTACCATAAACTGATCTACCAATTCTGAAATACTGCAAAAGGCTGGTGGCAGGAGGGCGGTTGCTTTGTGCTCTTTTGAGTGATCCCCGTGTAGAGCACAAGTCGAGGTGGTGGTTTCGACCGTACACGTCATCGGACGGCTGCGCTGATCCGAGCTGGCACAGCGAGGATCTATGTCATGCACTGTCAGTGTCAACAACTAGAGCGAGGCATGCTCGGCGCGCACCACTAGAGACTGGCATATGCTTTCCTGGCAGCCCGGCATTTACCACCTATCCTAGGCTTGGGCGCCCAGGGCCATTGTTTGGCAAGCCGCAATTTTCATGCCAGCAAACTTTCGTGAATGTTGGGGGGCAGGCGATCCTGCATCAACACATTAAAGTCTTACATTGTTGAATCAGGTCCGCAGCTGCTTCTTTACCGTACTTCTACAAACGAAGAACCATCTCTTCCTTCTTGAATTTCTCTCACGAAGCTTTCAGCATCACCCTAGGGAGCTCTCCATTCAGCCAATTGCATTCACCGGTGCGACTCGAGATTGCTTTTCAAGCAATCGGCGTGTCCAAATCCAGAAACCTTGAGGCAAATTGATCTTGGATTTTCGTACACAAACAAGCCGAGTTAAGAGCACCGACAGCCGCATCTGCCGTTCAGCGACTGAAAAACTCAAAAGCATTGGGCAGGGTTTCTGAAAATCTCTCAGCTGCTCAAATCCAAGACCGTCGCTTGGCCTATTGGTGTCTGGCGGGAGCTCAAGGTGGCACCATTGGCGCAGGCTGGATGCGCAGCGAGGCCGCATCTGGCCGCTGGATACACAACCTGCGCAGGTTTGTTATCCTCCGATGCTGCTCACTGGACCATTCATGATTCCAAAATTGATTGAGCAGCTGCAATTGAGCATCTCTTCACAAGCTGGACCTTCAGTGGGGCCGCTGAGCTGTCACTTTTCATAGGTAAGCACATCAGAATGTCTTGCGTGCAAGCGCTGTGAAGAGTAGCTTGCGCTCTCCCATGTGGTGTGTAACCTGCTAGTAGAGGCGACGTTTCTGTCACACGGATAGTCTCCTCAACTTCGATGAGAACCTGCACCACCACTTGAGTTCTGTCCTCTAGTACAATAAGGGGGCCAAACATAAACGTAGGTTGGAACGCTCTGTTTGCGCCTGTGAAGGCATCGACCACGTTCCATTCCAGGGTCCGTCTTTGTGTAGTCTGAACAAAAACTAGACGATCTGTCAATCTGGTGCTTTCTCAAAGAGGCTCTTGTACGGACACCAGACGCTTTGATCACAATAGTGGCCGAGGCATTCCTCTTGCTCACAAGGCAGTCCGCTCCTGTGCTCGCTTCAAAAAGTTCTGAAAATTGAACAAGCAGACTTGGCACCCACTCTCTTCGCTGCCGCTTCCACAGGTGGTGTGCCCCCCACCACTTTTAGAGACACAAGAACCTTCCAGACTCCTTCCAGACCTTGGGCTCTTCTCGACTAACGAACTTGGAGCGCCCGCTCTTATCAAAGCTTCTCAAATGCATCCGCCACTTACTCTAATCATTCCAACCCAAAGGTCAATCTACAGCACCAGGCAGCAACGGACGGCGTCTCTTGAGCGGAAAGGATAGCAGCATCTAGAAGTCAGCTGTTTTTGAGACGCACAGAAAAACGACCCTTTTCGATGCTTGAGGGTTCAAACCTTGACATTTCCTTCCACTTGCAGCCCTGCCCAATGTGGTAGGGGGACTCTCCAGACTCTCGTAACTCAACGGGGGGTCCCATGCCCCTGGCGGCACCATGAAGGGTTACCCCTCAAATGTGGACGTGCAGGCCCTCCCTGCCAAGCCGCGGAAGCCGCAGCAGGCGCACCGGACGTGGTTGCGGTTCGATGCGGACGGTAGTGCGCTCGTGTTTGAGGCCGACAAACATGAGATCATGCACCGGGCAGGGATTCATGCGCGCGACCTCCGCATCCTGGATCCGTTCCTGTCGTACCCCTCCACTATTCTGGGGCGAGAGAAGGCCATCGTGGTCAATCTGGAGGTGAGGGGCCGGATTGTCTGAAGGTTCGTACTGTAAGGTTTGGGCTTTGACTTTACGGCCTCGCAGAAGCAGGCCTAGAGAGTTTGTTTTGCGTCGAAACGCCCGTATCATTTGAGTCAAGAACGGCTGGCAAACGTCTGGCTGGAAGCTGTCGCTCCCTATGCAGAGGCTTCCATCCTCGTTCTTTTTGTGCCCTCGTTTTCGGGTCGGAACAAAGCCGGCTCGGAGGGCGGTGTCTGTGAACAGAGAGGCACGTTGCTGGCTTCTTTGACTGCAGTTGATGTCGAACGGTACCTGCTAGACTCGCTCACTGGGAAAGCAGAAAATCGTCCCGCTTTTGTTCAGATTCCAGTCTACATGCTTCTCCATTGTGAAAACGTGCGTGCAATGACGTTGCTCAGATGCTTACGTCACAAGTGTGTAGAGATCAGCGGTGCTGTTTTCTCTGCAGCACATCAAGGCGATCATCACGGCGGAGGAGGTGCTCCTGCGGAACGGCCAGGAGGAGGCGATGGTGCCCCTGGTGGAGGAGTTCAAGCGGCGGCTGAACATAGGCGGGATCGGCAGCGACTACGACAGCGACACAAACAGGGCCAACGCCAGCCCGCCCCAAGCAGGGCCCGGCCACGAGAGAGCACCTGCGGACGATGCAGAGTGTGAGGGCGCGGCGCTCTTTCCGGTCGAGACTGATTCTGAAGCTGAACGAGTGCGATTGTCTAACGGATTCTGGGCTAGATAAAGATAGACTGGTCCGACGATAAAGATTCTATGCATGTGAGACACGCCCTGTCTTTTCTGTTGTCGAGCAGACAATCTGTGTGGCTTCCGCGTGGTTGCAGGATCCAGTATATTGCCGAAGCATTTGTTATGCAGTTTGAGTGTGGGAGCTCTCGGGAAGATGTATCGACAACAAGGAAGGCCGATCTTGTTTTCGATGTCGAACCAGTGTAACGGCCACACAACTATCTTTGGCGCCACTTCTAATTCCTGTCCGACTTCCGTTGTGCAGTGCTGCCGTTCGAGTTCCGGGCCTTGGAGGTCGCTCTCGAGGCCGCGTGCAGCTTTTTAGACGCGCGGACAACGGAGCTGGAGTCCGAAGCATATCCCGTCCTGGATGAGCTCACCAACAAGGTACGATCCTTTCTTTCAACAAGGCCCCAACTTCGAAAGTTGGATGTAGACCGTGTACTTTCGCGAAGCCTTTTTCTAATGACTCAGGCATTTGAGGTGGTGTCGAAAAGCTGAGCGCATGTGGAATGGCCTTGAGCTCGATGAGTTTTGCGGCTCGACCCCGCTTCTGTCAATTTTTGATAATACTTCGCTCCAGCCTCCCGTTGTGCGTCACTTTACTCCGCTTGCGAGTGCCTCCGCTGTTCAATCTTCCAGAGCTGACCTTCAACTCCTTTCTCGCCTGCCAGGTCAGCAGCCTGAACCTGGAGAAGGTGCGGAGGATGAAGAGTCGGATGACGCGCCTCTCAACACGAGTCCATAAGGTGAGCGGGCCTTCCTCCCCCTTGATCGTTGACACCAGGCTTGAACAAATGTTTTTGGAGTATCAGTTTTGCGAGCGAAGCACATGCAGTGCTTGCTTCGTCAGTCTTCTAGTCTATCCTCCCTTGTGCTCAATCCGGATGCGGACGAGTGACAAACCTCCTCTGCGCTCTGCCGCCTTTAGCTTCCCTTCTACGGGCGTCCGTTTGCAGGTGGGTGCCAGCTCGTCAACACGGCCTGTCTTCGCGCCCTCCTTTAAGATGCGTGACGAGCTCGAGCAGCTGCTGTGAAGGGGCCACTCACATTCTCCAAGAAGTATCTTTGACGCAGAATCACAGCCCTCCCCTCCCCTAAAAGAGACCCTCCGTGTTCCCCCGCAGGTGCGCAACGAGCAAATACAGCTGCTGGACGTTTGTCTTCAAGGGGGTGTCGTTGACGTATCACAGGCACCCCCCGTTCCTAAACAAAGCCCTCCGTGTCCCCCCCGCCAAGTGCACGACGACCCGGAGCAGCTGCTGAACGTTTTCCTCCCAGGTGGTATCTTTGATGCTATCTCAGAGGCCCCCGCTGTCCCTAAACAAAGCCCTCCGTTTCCGCTGCCCCTCTAGGTGCGCGACGAGCTGGAGCAGCTGCTTGACGTTCTTCTTCAAAGGGGCCTCTTTGACGCTGTCCCACAGGCCTCCTTCCCCCTTAAAGAGGCCCTCCGTCCCCCCCCCTCCAGGTGCGCGACGAGCTGGAGCAGCTGCTGAGACACTCTCTCCAAGGCGGTCTCTTTAACATTACATTACAGTCTCTTTCCCTCTAGACAAAGCTCCCCTTTCCTCGCGCCAGGGGGTGTCTTTGACAACGCAACTATGGCCGCCCACCCACCCCCCCCTCCCCCTTTAACAAAGCCCTCCGTTCCCCCCCTCCAGGTGCGCGACGAGCTGGAGCAGCTGCTGGACGACGACGACGACATGGCGGAGCTGTACCTGTCCCGCAAGCAGGCCTTCAACTTCAGCGCGCTCTCGTCCCCGCGCTCGCCGCACTCGCCGTCGCTCGCGGCCGCGGACGCGTTCAGCGCGAGCGTCGCGTCGAAGACGTACGCGCCGCGCACGGCCACGCACACGACGCGCAGCACGGGCGAGGGGGCGGAGGACGTGGAGGAGCTGGAGATGCTGCTGGAGGTGTACTACTCGCAGATCGACGTCACGCTCAACAAGCTCAACACGGTGAGAGAAAGGGAGCGGGGGGGTGCTTGGGTGCTTGGGTGCTTGAGAATATCGAGTTGTTCGTCACGATTGGATGGGGAAGAAGGGGCCTTGCTTGAGAAAGCCGCAGGACAGCTTTGCCTGGAGGGTTTGTGCTTGCCCCCGCAAGCGGTCAGAGTCTTTTCGCAGACTGACGTGACGCTCGACCAACTCGGCATTCTCGGGAAGGATCCTGCATGAACTGGTTCCACGCACAGAACTATGCCAGAAACGTCAGACGGAGTCTGGAGGGTGTCTCCTGAGTGAAAGAGCCGGTGTCCTCTTTTTACAATTGAGCTGTATCAGTCGCTTAGATTGGCTTGCGGAACGTTCGGACGCGTTTGCCTCAGTTCATCATGCAATGGCCGCGATTGCCCAGTAGCCAGCTTTGGGCTTGTCGTTCTGCTTGAGCATTGACTTGTGGCACTTTTGTCGTTGCACAGCTGCGGGAATACATCGACGATACGGAGGACTACGTGAACATCCAGTTGGATCACGTACGAAACCAGCTTATCCGGGTGAGCGCACACGAAGACTGCCTCTGCTCGTGTTTCTCTTTGCACAGCGGGCCAAATCTTTGAGAAGCATTTCAAAGAAGCCACCATACTGTTGCGCAATACTAGCGGCAAGAAAATGCAGTCAACCCCGCAGAGTCAACGTCGCCAGATTTCGAAGTCAAATCGACCAATAAGTCTGGCCGTAAGTTCTGCGATTGTGCGCTGAGGATTCAGCAGGTTGTTTTGAACCACGTATGAGTGATGCTTCAGTATTCCGTGCCGGAGCCAGGAGCGTACGTGCCTCCCCAAGAACCGACTTCGTAAGGCCGTCGACCGCAGTCGGATCCCTTCACAACGCTTTGTTCGCTGCTGTTTCTCAGGTCGAAATGATCATGAGTGTGACGACCGCCCTCATGGCAATTGCATCAGCGGTCGCGGGCACCTTCGGAATGAATATCCCGTTCACGTACAACGAACAGGGACCCGCTTTTAAATGGGTGAGTGATTCAATCTTTCATGTTGGAGCACCTGTTTGTTATCAGCCTGCAGATGCGTGAGCTGGCTTGTGCCCCGCCTTCCTGGAGCGGCGTGCCCCTCCCGGCCCCTGATGACTTGGCCTTTCAGGGGCTCAGCTCATCATTCTGGCCTCTTCGCGTTCGATTTCTATCTTGCTAATGCCGGCGGGGTCCTTGCGCTGAGGACTGTACAAAAAAAACATGCGAAGCCAAGGAAGACGCGCTCCGTTGAAATAGTCGCTGGTCGAACATAAGTCGACAGCAGCTTCGATGACGATTGCTGGCCGGTGCGACCCCCGAATTGCGACTCTGCAAGTATGTGCGGACGTTGCAAAAGCTCGGAAACTCTTGCTGCTGAAAAATTGAGTGTGTTTCCAAACCCTGATCCACTTTCCTTTCCGTTTCGCAGGTTGTCATCATCACAACGCTCTGTTGCATTGCGCTCTTTGCGGCCGTCATGGCGTGGCTCCGGTACAAGCGGTTGATCGGTGTTTAGAATCAGCCCCTCCCTGCTTTCACGCACTCTTAGTTATGACCTGCGATCCCGCTGGCCGCCTTTAGAAAAAGCATCCAGAAGAAAGTGCGCCACGAATCACTGCAGGCAAGCATGCGCGCCCTTGCTAATCAGCTATACCATCATGTTAGTTAGTCAGCTCTGAGTCTCAGAGCAGAACGGACTCTGGAGAGTGAAACTGTCAAACTGTGCTTAGACGGGGTTTCATCTGCCTGGATAACCTTACCCGAAAAAAAGATCAAGCTTATTACGTTTGGCGCTTCGTTCATGCACCCGGGGCGGAGTCAAAACTGAATTCCATGTGCAATTTTGATTGCTGCTTCGGAATATACACAGTGACCATGTATACATCCCCCGGCCGTCTTTTGATCATGCATGCAGTTATAGTGTTGCACTTAACTTAATGTTGATTATGCCAGGATCATGTTGCAGCGATGGCCGCCAATTAAGTCCGAAAAATCACTATCATGGTGTTCCAAGTGCTCGCATATACCTGCACGTTCACCGTAGGCGCCATGAAGATGCATGTGAGTTTTTATATAACATTCGGGCCACGTTCTAAATCTGACATGGTCGAATCAGCTAGCTACATGGACCTACTATATATTAATTAGTGCATGAGCCTAGAGAGCGCGCCAATATCGTTGCTCTACTGCGGTGCCTTGCATGCACCATTACGATGGCGACTTTAGTATCGGCGGCCTGGCGGCCCTAATCCACAATCACAACCTGTGCGATTTATATCTCAGCATATGTACACGTGAAATGGTGCCGCCAGGCCGCCTGTACTAAAGTCGCCATCATGGATCGATAGTATATCTCAAATTGTGACCATTGCAAGCTTGTGCGAACCAGTTTCCTACTCAGCTGCTGCTGACAGTGACTAGCGTTTGACTATGTTCCCGAAGTACACGCGCTATATATTACCACCTTCATTGCCACTAATTGCCATCTGCCTAGAATGCTCGTATGTTATCTACGATGCTCCGGGTTACAACTGCATCCTCGCTGAACGCTGTTTCATTAGGCTCATGCACAACAAAAAGTAAGAATTACATGCCCGCGGCCAGCGGTTGCTCACGAGTGCCCTGCTGTCGATCCTAAAGTAGATTGCTTGCTCCGCAACCCTCGCATTTAAAGCTGCGCGCAAAAGATGCGAAAACACCAGTAGCTTTCTACTGTACCTACCTCACAGTCTGCCTTTACTGCTACTCAGTCGAGCACGCGAATAATCTGTACCGGAGTTGCAGAGTCGTCCGCGGTCGCCCCGACCCACCACTCTGGATACGCAAACCGTGCGAGGCGCTCCCTCCAATCAGGTTTGGGCCTTAGGACGACGAGACTCTGCTCCTCTGCGCCAGGTGAAGTACAACGGACTTAAGTATTGGAACGATGCGAAGTTTGTAGCCGTAATGTGTCTGGTGCTGACCGAACGAGTGACATGAAAACATGCTCTCCTGGGTGAATTCCGCCAAACCTCCTTGGTTCCGACTCCAAGGGATCAACAGTTGACGCGACTTTGGGCCGTCAATCTGAGTACTTCCAACCAAAGGGGATCCTTAAAGGTTGGCTGGGAGTCTGAGTTGTCCTTCCATCCGTTCTGCTGGTGAAGATAAACGACCTCGCTTTCATTGGTAAATTCTCAACTCTGGAAGACTAGAGCGGGCAGAAGAATTGTACAATCATGTACGAGGACTCATTTGAGTAGTCAAGCTCTAGAGATCCAACTCCAGAATGCGGCGCAGGGGAACACCCAAGCACCAATTGATGTTGCTACAATTTTGATCGTTCTGCCGTTGTAAGCACCCAGTAAGACTAGCAGAAATGATCTCGACTTTTATATATGTAGCAGCCCTGACAGGGGAACTCAGAACACTCGGATCATTGAAATGTTTATGTGTCCTCAGCCCTTAGTGGCCTTTTCCAAGAATCGTTATTCCCCCGCTTCTCGTTCCCAGGGCAGAGTCTGAGATTTCTCTCAAAAAGAAACAAAGAGGAGCAGAGAGAGTGCTTCTCTTTCAGGAACCCCCTGCGCACAGCATGCCAGCTCAATTGAGCACGGGTGGTTAGTTCTGCAACAACGACTAAGACTAAAAGCTTTGGCACTTAAACAAGGACATGGACGACTGGAAGAGTTCAAGTCTTTACAACCCACCGAGCACTGTGTCAATCATCTCGTACAGGAGTAGGACGAGCTTGTAGTGTCCCCGCTGCACAGTGTCCCAGAAGTCGTGCAAGAACAGGATTGAGTCTTGGGGGTCTCGAAAATGGAACAAAGCCTCGATGGCGCACTGCGGCCGCGCCCGGCCGTCCACTAAGAAGCGGTCCACCTGCATCAGAAGATAGACGCACTCAACATCTCAGGCGAAGAAGCAATGGAGCTGGGTGAAGGATTCGATGCCGTCACCTGAGAGAAACAGAGAGCCAAACACCAGGGGTGGAGGCCTTTGGTCTCCAGTCAATTGCCCTTTGCCCTCCAACATTCAGCAATTGTGACCGGTGTTAAAAGAGCGCTTGAACCTTGGAGGAGCTTACTAACATGGTACTGCCTTCAAGGAACGAGGTGTCACGAAGCCAGGACGAATACCAAAACACGATTACTTGGTTGGGACGGGACTAGCTCAGATTTTGGCTTTCTGTGGAAGCCTTTGATTAGTAGACAGATGTCAAGTTGCAGGTATATATAGCGAGTCACCTTGAGGTCCTCCGGCACAGCCCTGATGTACTGTGCATAATTTGCCCCGATGGAGGGGGGGCCCGGCCACACCCGCTCGTAAGGCACTGACGCAACATGCTGGTAGCTGACTTTCTTCGAAAGAACAGGGTCGGCTGTCAGCTGCTCCTTGACGGTGTTGAACCAGACCTCGTCATGCTCAACTGAATAATACTCTGACACAAAGTGGGAGAAGAAAGTGGTGGAGCCCCCGCTGCAGAGGCAGAGCAAAATGGATCAGGGGCTTTATGCATAGCACCACCAATTGGACCTCGCAATCAAAGGTTTGAACAGGCTGGTCGGATCAGCGCAGAGCGGATCAGAATCCCCAGAGAGAGTTTGTGATGCATTGGTGGTGTGACTTGTCTTTCTCTGCTCCATCTACTTTGGTGAATGTTAATCTGGAGTGTCTCATCAGCTCCACTTTACAGCTGTGCCATTTGCTCACATTTAGTGACGTGCAATAGCCACTTCAGAGCTGCAACATAGTCTGAGACGAGGAGATCCTTCATTCAAGAAACAAACAGTCTCGTCTCAGAATACGGAAGTGGCAGAGACAGCTAGGTACTTACCTACCCCACTCCCACATGGTCTGCCCTGGCTCCAAATATTGCACCACCATCTGTGCCTCCTCTTTTGACATCCACACTTGGCCCTCGCGTTCCTTCCATAGCTTCTGAAAGAGAGCATCAATGCGTGTCCTGTTTACCTCTACGGAAACAGCTTGGACCTCAGCAATGGTGCCACTGCTGAAGAAGGTGCCCAAGCTTGAGGTCTGAAAGAAGATGGCAGTTACAAGAGCGCCCAACAAAAATGGCATCACCCGGTTTGATGTCACATTGTGTCTCGCTCTTGAAAGCACATACATTGCTGGGCCTTGATAATTGTCTAGAACTTCTAAGATCGTCTCTGCTGCGGTCCCGTTTGTGTGTAAGACCTTGCCCTGGTGGCGAAACGCGCCGGTTTATGGAAGTCAACCTGATCAACTTGTGCATTTGGGAGACCTTCTGACCAAGCTACTGCAGCAGTAACCTTACATCGCATTTGCCAGCGCTCCAACTGAGATAGTAAGATAGAAGATGGAGGCATCGCCAAGATCGACTCCCTACAAACTTCTTGAGTGCTTGGGGGGAAGGGAACTGCAGACTCGCACAGCCTTCATTCTTACATAACCTGACCGGGTTTAAGCTTTCCATCCCCTAGAATTCTGAGGTTAACGATTTTCGGGTCATGTGCATCCATTTAGAGCACAGCATTCCTCAGGATTCCGATCAGGGCGAACGAAGAGTGCTGTTGACAGAAGGGGCTTTCCTTTCGAGGCGCAGCACCAGTAGAGCTGAGGGGTGGTCCTCACAAGGTCGAGTTTACTCGCAGTGCAGTGACACCGCTAGCTCCGCCTAACAATGCCCGCGCCTTCAGTGATCAGCAATTCTCGGAGCAAGAAGCGGAAGAAGCCAAAGCCTGAAGCAGCTAGCGTTGATGGGGAGGGTGGTGCAACGTCCAACAAGCTGCAGAAGCTCAACAAGGATACAGCCGAGGCTGGAGGAAGCCCGGTGAATGCGTTTTTGCGAGCGTGGGCTTGGAAACGGGAGCCACTGTGAGCAGCAACTAATCTTTCTGCGCTGCTTTTTTATTGGATCAGGAACGAGCCTGTGTGGCTAATGCTGCGGCGTATTGAAGCTGACTGGGCTGATTGGAGAGCCGGGTATTTGCAGCCGCGGAGCTGATAAGAAAAGTCTCTGACATGTGGCGAGCATCACCTAAAGCTTTTGATGGGCCACCAGTTCTGATTCTTGATTCGCTGGCCAAATGCCATCATGCTGTTATCTCATTGTGCTCAATTGTTGCAGTCCCGATCGATACAAGTACGACCTGCCGTATGTACATAAGTTCGTCTCGGGGGGTCAAGAAGGCAGCCTGACTATCCAGCAGAAGCGTTTCAAAGAGACGGGCTTTGCATCTACAGGTATGTTGTGTGAAATCCTCTTCCCCATCCTGTGAGTCTCTACAGAGACTCGAGCACCATACTTGACTGGCAAACATGGTCTTTCCAAGATAGGATGCATGTGCAGTTCAGTTGATGGAGTGACTCGTAGAGGAAGCTTTTGTCCAGTGGTGAGGCGAAAGGAAATTATCCTTGATCTGGGGAGAGCTGCGCACAGTTGCATTCACAGTATGTTGTGGCCTGTTTCAAAGATTTCTCCATCAGATTGTCGGACCTTTCACGGAGGGCATTTGCTTTGTTCCTTCAACATTCGGAAGGTTAGCAGGTACCCTGTCGTCCCACCGACGCCTTTGTGACAACAGGATGAAATCACTCAATACTTTCACACAGAGAAAAGACCGCAAGTTGACTGGCTGGCCCAAGTCTGACCTGACAATCATCCAGTGCAAACAAGAGTTTCGATTATCACCACCTGAGAGCTTTCGGGGTTGCCACACAAACGCTGGGTCAAGACAGGGGTCGAGATAGTAACCAGGCTCTACTTCTTTGTTTGTGCCTACTGTTTACAGGAGACTGTTGCTTTCATGAGACTGACCCAATCTCAGTTGTCAAGGGCACTTCACAGGTCTCATAAGGAGACGAAGTACCTGTTCTGGGTGCAGAGTGTTTGAGTCCATTTCATTTGCGGTGCAGGGCGTCTCTGCCTCATCTCGTGATGAGGCCTGCCTTGATGACATCTTCGTCTCAACCTTGAGAGGATTTCTACTAAACGGTTAAGTTGCACATAAAAGGAAACGACCGGCCTGACTTGACCCTCTTTTCGTCCCAGTGTGGGACAGCTCAATCGTCCTGGCCAAGTACCTGGAGCGGTGGCAAGAGGCCTTGGTGCGCGGCAAGAGGTGCATCGAGCTGGGCGCCGGCTGCGGCCTCGTAGGTCAGTCAGCCGCTCTTTGTGCTAGACCTTACTGGTTCTCCTGGCCAGGTTAATCAAATGCTCCGGGCCCTACGCCAACACAGAGAGAATGACCACAAGGTGGGGCGGCGAGGCATGCTCTTTGACACCTCGGCAGATGACAAACCCAATATATGAACAATAACAAGCCGTTTCGTTCGAGCCTTTCTGTCTCCATAAGAACCGTTGGTGCAGACTAAGCAAGTTAATCTCGAGTCATCGACCGTTTCTTTCTAGTGGATGAACTCCAGTCGTGACTGAACTTATCTCTTGCGTACTGTCCTTTCAGGCATTTGTGCTGCACGGTTCGGTGCGGGCTCCGTTGTGCTCACCGACCTCCCGGGAAATCTGTCGCTTCTGGAGCGCAACCGCTCGGGAAATAGTACGCAAGATACACAAGTTTCAGAGCTCGTCTGGGGGGCCGATGTGGCGCATCTAGAAGCTCCCTTTGATGTTGTGTTTGCAACTGACGTAATCTACGATGGAAGTGTGATACATCAGTTGGTCGCTACGTTGATCAAGCTGTCAAACGAGCGGACGCGCATTTTGATAGCTTATGGTCGAAATAGGTGGGCTGAAAAAGAATTCATGGATGCAATTCAACTAGACTTTGACGTGGTAGAGGTCGGCAGGGAGCTCTTAGACAGCGTCTATGCTTGCGACGATGTTAAGATGCTGAGCTTAACACGTCTAGCGCGACGGACGCCAACTTGATCGGAAAGACGTGTCTTGATGGCAATTCGTAGGAAAGCATTAGGCAGCCGGTTACGAATCACGGGCGACTTGCCACGAAATGGCCGCCTCGCTTACTGGGTGGCACATGTGCATGAGACAAGCTCACCGAGCGTCTACGTGCTTCAAATGTTGATAATTGCGTTCCATGCTCTCTAATCACTTCAAAGTAAAAGTATTGAGTATATAGCTGTGCGTGAGCACTGATTGCACGAAGCTTCCCGCACCATGCGCGGACGCCGGAATCCTTCATAAATTGTCGGGAATCTGCAAACGGTGACCACCATATGTGGTGGCGTATAGCTTATAAGGACCGGCCGGATTGATTTAACAACTGTTAGGCCGAAGATCATGGATCGGTTATGTATCACACTACGAAGTTTGCGTACATGGCAAGGTTATTAAGCGCATAATCTTGTCGGAGTGACCATGCAGACACAAGCCTGACACCCAGCTTTCGGAAACTCAGTGCACTTATCGTAGATAGGTATCAATGATCCGTTATAATTATACTCAAATCGACAGTAAACGAAGTGCGTTCTGGTATCTCGTAAACTGAGCGATGCTGGCGCAACTAATTATGTCCGAGCACACTGGCCTGGCTGATGGGCAACCTACGACCTACTTCATTCATAAGATACGAGCTAGTGATTGGAGGTCAGCCGAATCAGAGGGTTCTAACCAGCGAACACTCCAGTGCTAAATTCCAGGTTTCTACACGCGAGCCAAAATCAAAGCTGTCTAAGTCCTGCTTGCTGCAGGAGTTTACGATTGTTCGGACACACCTTCAATCTACCTCTATCTCCCTACCAAAGACCTTAACTTTCTACCTACTAAGCCCTGAACGTGTCACGATTAGAAGCAGGCTATAGCAAAGAATGACACCAGGGCCAAGAGCGTGGCACTCGTCAGGTCAATTGGGTGAGCACCTGCAAAGAGCAGGAGCGCTGAATCAGATCCGACGTTCAGAAAGCGTAGCATTTGGAAACAAGGCTTTAGGGAACCAGTGGGGAAGAACAGTATTTGGGACGGCCGAAAACGTCGTAAAGCGTCCTTTCATTTGTTCGTGTCAACGAGCGACAGACAACAAGCTTGAGCGATACTAGTACGGAGGCCGAGCACCAACCTCTAGAGCTCCTAATTCACTTTTGCTCGAACATAACTGTCTAACGACTTCGGTAATCTCCTGTCAAGGACACGTGGCAGCCGCTCACCCATTGCACTCCCGGATGATGCGGGCACCGCTGAGCCGGGGGCCTGCGCTGATGACGTTGACGTCACCGCCGAGACAGGGGCACTCTGTGCGACTGCAGATGGAGCGGTAATTCGATCAGAGCTCCGCAACAACAACAATCTTGCAGAAAGGATGGTTCTTTTTCCTTCTTCACCAGCCGTCATGCCTTACAAGCTTTTGGTCACAACGACCGCATTACACTATGTCTCGCTTCAAGGTTCCTTCCACAGAGCAAAGCAGATAACATCTTCCGTTGCCTAGTGCCTCCAACCGGCACAGCACACCACAACGTCCCACTCTATGAGAAGGTCGACTGTCGAGCTCGGCGATCGAGAGTGGCGTTCTAAGCAACCATACAGAATCGATATCACGACGGTTCAATTGCAATCACATTGAACATCAATCGCGGAGAAGCCCCAAGACGAGGCCTTCATCGTCATTCTGACGGTTCACAGGCCCACCGACCGGTCGCTCCAGCCGCGTTAAGAACGGCGAAAATTCCCAGATAGACGTCCGAAACAACCAATCAACAGCATCTAAATTGGAGTCAAATCGACCTCACCTGTAGGCGTAGGCGTGGCGGCAGCCACCGTACTGGGCGCGGTTGTTGCGCTCGTGCTGGGGGCAGTCGTCGCACTCGTACTGCTCGGCGACGTCGTAGCAACATTCGACGCGCTCGACGTCGGCGGGCGGTTCGCCGTCGTGTCCACAATCGCGTTAATCGTTGCGACCAGCCCCGCCGCAATGTTGGTCGCCGAAACTTGCGTCATGTTCAGGAGCTCCACGGGGCTGCTGTTGTAGATGCCGTCTGACGTCAGCGCGACATACGCGTTGGTGTCGTTGGTGTACGGAGCGACGGCGGACACGAGGGCCATGTGGGCGTCCGTGAAGAAGAGCTGCCCGGTATGAACCGTGTGGCTGGAGGCGTACTCGGCAGGGACCGAGGTGCTGGTGTTTGTGGGGATGTGCACCTTGAAAAAGGGGAGAGACTCTGTTAGATTATGTGTCGCAAAAGAATAAAAAAAATGCCGCCTTGACGGTTTTGAAGGATGGGTAATGAGGATGGTGGGGGAGAGAAGAGAAAGTGGCGAGAGACGAGGCAAGTAGATAGAAAGTCAAGGTGACTATTTGTGACGTTCTATTGAACTGGCCATGAGAGAGCAACACCACAGAGAACAGCGGGAGTAAACTTAAGGGACATCGAGCTGAAGCAAGCTGAAAGAGAAGAGTATCTTTGAATGCTAATTGACCCCCCTCATAGGAACATTTCGATAATAATCATCATTGAGAGCTTTGGCAGGGGCAAAAGAGGCTGAAGAAGAGAAGCTCCGGAAAGCAGACTTGCGGACGATCATAAACACGGACACAAATTGACTACAATATCTAACAGCTCAAAGAATGTGCCCTGCATAGATTTTGACACAGTCTGACGAAACTACATATGCAGAAACGGACCCCTGCTTGTATGTAGCTTTCTAACGAAGCAGAGGAGAGCTTTCAATCTCTTACTAATCGCTCGTTGCAGATCTGTTAAATTTTGAGCTCAGGATTGAATTCATTGATCCTGAGCTCGCAAGTCAGCAACCAAAGCAAGAGATGTTCACTGTCTTGACAACAAAAGGCTACTGAGAAGTGTGCATTTCCCCCAGCTCATCCAGAGCCAGGACCCAAAGAGCTTCTCTACCTACCGAGCACCCAGTCATTTTCTTTCGAAGAAATATAGGCACTACTCAATAGAAATTACAAATTTGGACATTCTGGACACCCACTGAGATCAAGATACTCGCAACAGGCACACAACAGAAGGATCCACAGTCAAGAGCTTTGCACCCACCTTGACGTGAATGTGAGGGGTGCGCCCCGCATACCACCCCGGCTGGATCGTCGCGAACGTTGCCACACCGTTGGCGTCCGTCTGGGTGATCCCCCTCAGAAACGTCTGGTTGTTTGTGGAGGAGCTGGACCCCCCCGGGCCTCCGCCACCCATCCCCGGGGAAGATGTCGTGCTACCCCCAAATCCTGAGTAGAATCCAGTTGCATTGCAGTGCCAGATGTCAACGAAAACGTTGGGGATTGGGAGGCAGGTGGTGACATCCAAGACGACGATGGAAAGGTTGAAGGGGATCCCGGCCTGGCCCTCGGTTATGTTGGCGCGCAATAGCTTATCTTCCAGCCAGTAGGGGCCTTCGGTCAGCTCAGGGGTGAGGACGCAGCTGGTTGGAGTGGCGGTGGGAGCGGGGGCAGGGGCTGAGAGGGGCTGACACTGGACGAGTGCGAGGAGGGCTAGGACAGAGAGAGCTACAATTGGGAGTGTCATGGTGCCCATGGTTTTGGGAAGCTGAAAGGAAGCGCGACGGGTGCTGCAAAAAGCTTGTGGCTAAGGAGCTGGAATCGGCTACAGAACGGAGGCAGAATTTAGCTCGACATTGAAGAGTTTGAGGTATTGTCATGGCGTTGCGCAGGTTGTGTAGGACTCTTCCAAAACCCCAAGCTGCAGGCAGCGGGTGCAAGTCTCTGATGTGCTCATGCAGGTGTTGCCATAGCCTCAGGATGATTGGAGGAGATCCCCAGACCTGGATCCCTGAGTCCGCTAGCACTGAGCATTTAGCAGTTTAGGCTCCGCGGGGAGCGTCTCTGCTCGAGCTTTTAGGCACCTTCACGGCTTTGGAAAACATATGCGCGCGGCTTTGCCCGCCACATGCATGACATTGGCATTTGCCCTTGTTTGAGCACATAGCTCAAGCAACGGCGGATCCGATCGGTGCCCAAAAATCGTTGACAGATCTGCAAGTTGGGACCAAATTCTGTTTGCTTAGATTCTGCCACGTGGATTCCACTTTTCATGGGTTTCGACTTTAAAGGGCCATGTTGACCGATTTGAAAGTGACCGGGGGACAGAGGGGTTGAATCAGTTCGAACTTTCTAGGGTCCAGAGGCGTGCGGAAACCGTAAACGCTGGGTTTGGGCTCCTCGGTTCGGTCGTTACTGGGAGCCCAAACCTGCTCAACTTGCCTCAAAGTCCAGCCCGTAGTGATCAGTGACCTTTACCGCGCAAAGCTGCCTTTACCGAGGGTGTCTTTAGCTGTCTACCTCCTACTAGTCCTAGTTGGCAGCTCCAGGCGCCCTCCAATGCCTCCACAGACCTGTTTCCTTTTGCTGACAGATCTCTACGCACCTCCAACGATATTTCTGCGCTCCAGTTGCGCTCTGTCCACAATGGCGGCCACCGTCCTCTCCCGCACCCTCGCCGCCGGCCCCTCCTTCCTCACCGGCTCCTCTGCCCACCTCCTCCAAACCCCGCAATGCCGCAGTGCCCCGACCTTCAAAGCCTGCGGCGTGCGCGCCAAAATGGCGGAGCCCACCGATGAAGACATGGCGAATGTGGGCCTCGATGACGTGTTCAACCTCATTGACCAGGCCGAGAGGAACGACCCTTCCCCGGACGTCCGGATTGATTCCAAGCGGAGGCTTACCGGTTGGGCGAGGTGGTACAAGGAGTTTGGCAAGTCGCTTCCCAAGGGGGTCGACGCGACAAAGGCGCTGTACGGGCCCGAGCGGCCAAAGTGGAAGGGCGCTTTCACATCGGCGGCGGACGTGCCGGACTACCTGAAGGGGCAGTATGCTGGGGACTACGGCATTGATGTGTTGGGCTTCTGCAAGGTAAAGACGGCGTGTGACAAGTGGCAATGAATGTGGGTCTATGGTCTCACTCTATGTAACGCCATCAGTTTGGTGACAGTGTGGTGCCGCTCTGGCCTGGCAAATGTGGATTCAGGCATTGCTGTGAATGTGCCGCCAAACAGATGGACGCCGTGCTTTTCTCTCTGGAAGAAAGGGAAAGCTTGGTCGCAGGCTTGTATGATTGCTTCAGGCGGAAGGTGTGGTGGCACCCAGCTTTCAGCATCTCTTATGCTGAATAGAGTTGCAGCAAACAGCCGCTGCTTTATGACAAGGCGAGGGCGCCTTTATACCAATGGTTCAAGATATCGGCCGGTCTTCCTGTTTTTAACATTTGCATACTTTGGCTAGTTGTGGGGCCAAAATCATCTCTTTCTGAGCTGGTTTTCCGTCTGAGTGTGCACCTGAACCCTTGAAAAGTTCCTCGGAGTGAACTAAAGGACTTCCCGCGCATTCTACCGCCTGTGAAAGCTGTACCACCATTCAATTCTATGCTTCCTGTGCAGGACGAGAAGGCCTTCGCTAGGTTGAGAGCCCAGGAGCTTTTCAATGCAAGGTAAGGTGGCAGTGACTCGAGGCGCCCATTGCTTCAGGACTTCCTGTGTTTGACGGGTCGTGCAATTGTTGCTGTAGCCTTCAGGGTGCCAGTCCTAGAGGCACTTTCTGTTCGAACCGCCTTACGTGTAGTCTGCGACGCTGCTTGTCAAGTAGCAAAAGCACGGGCAGAAAGTAAAGGTTGTCGTACACTGGCATGCTTCTTTCAAATACAAACCATGGTTGTTGTAGAGATTGGACTGCCGTCACTTGCAGCAAAACCTGTAAGCTGAGCCCCATGTAGAGCTCACAGCGCTGCTTGAGTCACAATTCAGAGCGCCAGGCTGAGCACGAGTGGGAGCTGCCTCAAAGGTCACTCAGCGCGACCTCCTTCCCCGCTTACTTCATTGACTTGACAATTCCCCCCCTAGCTGGAACACCTTTCTGACTCTGGCTCACCCCAATCAACACAAAGAGCACCCACGAGAAAATCTACTCACACATCTCTGTCAATGAAAGTATTATCGGATGCCGCCCTTGCTTTCTGTTAACCCGCTTGGCGCTCTTTCCTCGCTGCTTAAAGTGCGGTGTCTGCCCCCTCAGGTGGGCGATGCTCGGTGTTGTGGGCATGCTGTACCCGGAGTTCTTCCCGGCGTCCGAGGGCTTCGAGCCGGTGTGGTTCAAGACAGGCGCGCAGATCTTCGACCCGGCAGGGATTGACTATCTGGGAGCACCCAACGTGGTCAACGCACACAGGTAAACAAGAAGAGAGGGACTGATGTGGGTTTGCAATAGCCCCAGTGTCTCCAGTTGTCTTCCTCATGAATCGAATTCATGTTGGGATCACTTGAGCCTTCTCAGGGGTCTAATGCGGACAGCAGCTGCGATTTTGAAATCTGGTTGTGCAAAACATTTCCCATCAATGGGAATGTTTCTGGTTTTTTACCATTGGTTTTTTACCCTGCCTATAAGATTGACTATTCACCTAGCAGGGTAAATATTCACCTAGCAGACTTTAAGCGTTGGGGGAGAGGGGTGCCTGCATTGTAAAGAATTCTTGAAAGTTAACCGAAGTCTCCGGCCTCTCGCTTCTTCTTGATGTTTCGAACCTGTCCCGCATCTCCGAGGATCTTTGACAGCTCTCCCCGCTGAACGTGGGTAAGTACTGTATACCACGGCCATTGACGCGTGTGATGACGCGTCCCTCCTTTTGCAGCATCATCGCCGTTGCTGCATTTCAGGCCGTGTTGATGGGCGGTGCTGAGTTCGCCCGCCTGAAGGCGCCCAAAGAGATGGACGGGCTTTACCCGGGGGGCAAGGCGTTCGACCCGCTCGGCTTCTCCACCGACCCCGAGTCGCTCGCAGAGCTCAAGGTATGGGGCTTCCGTAGATCAATCCTTTCAGGAGGAGTTTTTCGCTCGTGAGAGGCTGAAGGGCAATTTTGTTTTAAGGTGTGAGCAGGGCCTTTTAGTGACCAGGAAAGTGTGGCGTAAGGGGGTGGATGCCGAACAGATCGCCGTTTGGAGTGCCCTTCCTCGCGGCATGGGGCGCCTCGCGAATAGATAACTCCAGTTGGAATTCGTTTTATTTCGCTATTCTCCACTTGGAGGCGATCTTGGCATAATGCTGCAGACAATGGTGGCACATGAAAATTTCCGAGCAGTACAGAGAAGCCGCCACTGGCAAATGGTCGGCGAACTCGACGGAAGCAGAGGCTCGGGTTTAGGTTCCAAGAAGGATGCCATCTTCCACGTTCTGAGCCAAGTTCTGTCCTGAATCCGTCTTTTTTAAATGTATGCTCCAAAAACACAGTGCGATTTGCGGCGGCTAATTGCACGGCGGCTATGTCACAAGCTGGTCCGACCGCGCAACCCTCGTCGCTGGCTTACGCCAGCTGGTTCCTGCACATAACGTCCTTCTGACTAGCGTGCGTGGTTGACCAGGATGACCAAATTTTCGTGCAGGTGAAAGAGATCAAAAACGGGCGGCTAGCGATGCTCGCGGCTGCCGGCTTCTTTGCTCAGGGCGCCCTCACGGGGGTGGGCCCTCTCCAGAACCTCAAGGACTGGCTACACTTCTAGGGGACTCTGGCAGCCCGTAGTGGAACGAAAGCCGAGGGGGTGCGTACTGGTACTTGACTATGTTGCGCTTATGTGGCTACGGCTAGGCTTGTAGCAGCAATAAGCTTATAGTAAGCTCGCGAGCAAAGAAGCAGCGACCGCATTGGTCGCACTGCGTGACGGAGCTCAGAAGAACGATAGCACTCGAGTGTCAAGCGTTGCTTAGCCTTGCTCAAGTATTTTTCGTTTCAAATATTGACTCACAAATAAGACCTAGCATATGATGACTCACTATACTTATTTGCCCTGATGTCCAGTGAGCGCTCATGCACATAAAGACTGACGGCGGCCAAAGCTAGTGACATCGACCTCAGTTGCACTGAGGCTCAGTCGGTGTGCCTCAATTGAGTGCAACAGTGCGGCTCATACATGTGGCGCGGCTGATTCAATGACATCATGAGATGTCTTTCCTTTTATGGCCGGCGCCGCTCTATAGAACCTGTCACGTAGACACTTTGCAAAAGACATCTGCAGTCAATGCGTCAACATGGCCAACCGGGATCGCTTTGCTGCCAATTATATCTCGTTCCGACCGATCTTTTTGACAAATTTTTGCTAGCAGCTCGCAAAACATCCGACATGATGAGGTACATCAAGCGACGAGTACACGGAGTAACGTCAAATGAGAGCGTTCGGTGAACGTCATTGTTCTCTAGTGCATCTGTGCCCTGGCTTGCAAGGCGCCCGATTACTTGCCGCCGCATGTCAAGTTTAGACGGAAGACGCATAGTTTCGTATCGACGCGGAGTCGATGACAGCTTGAATCAAGTGGAGCAAGAAGAGCGTGCTATATCTAGCGAAGACACGCAAGGTGGTTGTTGTTTTGCGAATTGTCAGCACACCTTGCCTCTTCTGATTATACCCAATGATGCCCACATTCCCGTGACACAGCAACTCGTTCAAATATAATGACATTACACTATAGCCTATTATCCGCTAAGAAAACAATGAATTTTCTACAGACACTATTGCAGCCTTTCGTGGATGATGAGACTCCTCTCCGAGTCGAGCGTGAAGTTGTTGGCCGAGAATTGTGTGCTCGAGAAGAAGGGCTGCAGATCGTTGATGTCGTACTCCGCAGCCTGCAGACGGAACAAGAACGGTCAGAAACAGAAGCGTCTCCTTTTCCGGAGATCCTCAACTGGACGACTCAATGGGGCCGTGTTATTGATTTATGACCGTCGAGCGACATAGATTGCGCAAAATAAGCGGAGACGTTGCCTCCTGTTGTGCTGTCGAGATCAAAGGTTTTTGTCTGTTTGTTTCGGGCCGCCGGAGCAGATCCGGGTCAGAAGAACGACTGATTTCTATGTCGCCATCACAAGTTCGTGTGTTGACAGGTGATTCTCGCGGTGTCCAGCTAGCATTACTCCTTCGCAATCGCTCCTGCATCTCCCCGCGCCTACGTGAATCGGCCCACCGACCCAAACGACAAAGCTCCACCAGGTGAAGTCAGGCCACGCGCGGGCGACCCCTCCCGAGGGAGCCGGCGCTTTGGGCAGAGTAATCAACAACGAGGCCGACAAACACGCTTAAAGAGGGCAAGCGTATTCACCTTTCTGTGGCGGCGACGTCCAAGTCCCAAACGACGTAGCAGCTATTGCCCAGCGCGCCTTGACCGGGAGGCACTCCAAGCGGTATCGCTGGCCATGAATCAATCTGACGTCCCGTCCAAACGAGGCGCGATTTCTCTGGGCACATCGACAATCAGTGCGCTGGTCGCCGCCTCACCTTGGCTTGCAGGTCGTGCAGCGGCACTTCGGTGCGGCCGTCGGGTGGCCCCGCCCCGAGCATGGCGGCCAGGCGCGCGGCCTCGCGCACCAGCTGGCGCAGCACGTACAGCAGCAGCTCGTTGTAGTCTTTCTTGAACGTCAAAAACTTGTTGAACGTCTGGAAGAGAGGGTGTGAGGGTCAGGCGGGAGGAAGAACTGTTCTTGCAGCATTTTGAGACTTGTAATAGTTTGCAAAGCCTGGCTTCCATGATGCAGGGTGGGGCAAAGGCTCTCATGTGAATGCAGGATCCTGCTGTGAATGTCAACAAACCTAGCAGCGAGAAGTTGCAATACCCTCATCACCCCTGTTTCGACGTGAGTCTCCGTACTTTTGTCTCCGACGGTGAGCCCGCCGCGAGACAACTGTCCTGAGCGCACAGTCCGAACGTTGGTGTAAATGGACTTAGCACGCTCAAGCGGAAACGATCTCAAACAGCGCGGTTACAAGCGGTGCGCGGGGCTGACCTTGGCCATCTGCTTTTGCACGCCGAACTTTTGCGTGGAGACGAAGGACTCGAGCATGACCCGGATGGCCATGTCCACGTCCTCCTCGCGCACGTAGCTGCGCAGGTGCATGCGCGCGTGCGCCTCCGCCATGCGGATCATGCTCTCGATGTGCCGCACCGCGATCGGCACGCCCTGGCCCGACTGTGGAGAAGAAGATTGCGCGAGATTAGGAAACGGGGCCGCGACACTCTTTGAAAACCTATCTCTTACTTCTGTACCCTTTGGACGTCAAGAGTCTGATGAAAAAAGGAATGTTTTGTATCAGGGGTAAAAAAATGGAGAAGAGCTCTCGATGTGCCGCACCGTGATCGGCACGCCCTAGCCCCCCTGCGAAACCGGAAGGCGCGGTCAGCGGGAGAGGGGAGTTTATGTCAAGATCTTGGCCAGCGGAAAGCGGCACCCGAGAAGATGGTGCGCGGTTGAAAGAGTCGTTTTGAGTAAGGACTTTTTCGCTTCGTGGCTGTGGCTTCGATGAAGCGCTTCTTTGAAATACCTGTCAAACTTTGAAAAAGCGCGACAGCTTCATCCGCCGTGGAGCTATCCTCCGTTCCTTCTGTCTGGTCATCAATTGAGCAAGCTGAGGGCCGCAGCTTCTACAGGGACCGTTGCCGGTACGACCCCCATCTTTTCAACACGGCATATGAGCCAGCTTAATCAATCTGGCCTCGTGCGATGCAGTCCTCTGCGTTTCGAGCGCTTAGGCTCCACAACTTAGCCACTGTGAAACCCCCCCGGTGGTTCGGCTCTCACCATGGACTCCCTGCGCAGGTCGGCGTAGACTTGCGCGAGCTTGTTGAGGTCCGCGTCGTGCAGCTTGGGCGCCACGTTCTGCTTCGCGTACGTGATGTACTTGCGCAGCAGCTCCTGCGGCAGCACCTGCACCCCGCGCGCGCGCGCACGTCAGCCAAAAGCAAGCCGGGCTCTATTCTCAGGAACATTGCTTTTTATTACTCCCTTTTCTCTTGCTCGCTCTTACACTGTGCTGATCCGAAAATCCTAAGTGCATCAATTCGACCTCTCTTCTTGATCGCCGCAGCGACCTCGGACCAATATCAACCATCGAATCTTCTCAAGGCTCCCAAGACGCCGGTACCCCACGTTTCTCTTGATCTCGAAAAAGTAAGACTATCCCTGGTCATCCGCTCCCATTGCTTCAAAAAGACGCGAGTGGCTCTGGGCAGTTCCTACGCACGAAACTCCCAAGCAGCCTTCCTGTTTGAGGGCAAGCGGGAGCCCCCTGGCTCACCTCGTCGTCGACTTGCGCTTCCGGCAGCAGGCTGGCGTCCTCGGCGGGGTCGAAAGAGGGGTGACTCTTGCGGTGGCTGTTTACCACGAACTTGGCCAACATCGCATCGGTCACGGGGTCGACCACGTCCTGCGAGGAGAGAAGCGGTTCCCAGTTTTGAGGGGTTTTCAGGGTCCAACTTCGAGATTCTGATCCGGCTTTGAAGATGCAGGTGCAGGCTTCATCTCGAAGATTCAGGAGGCAGGAACAGTGCTCAGGGCTTCGTAGGTTTTGCAATTTCGAATCTGGAGTGGGAGCTCAGGCTCTAATACTGCGGTATCCGTAGAGAAGAACTTGAGGGTACAGGAAGAAAGTTTGAAGTTAAGACTTAGGACTTAGGAAAAGAAAGTCCAAAACGATGGGGACTCCCCTTCTGTGTTTCAAGGTCCAGTATTCGGGACTAAGGTTCCCTAAAGCTCACCTTGACAACACACAGAATGTCGAACCGGGAAAGAATGGGGTCCGTCAGCTCCACGTTCTCAGCGAACGTCTTGCTCGAGTCATACCTGAGCAGTAGGGAGATCATGAAACTTCAGTACAATCGTTGCAACACCCAGATGGAAAGATTGTGTGAAAGATGGGGCTAAGCCGGGAACCGCAGCAGGAGACCACAATCGATCGTACACGAGTCTCAAATGGACTACAATGTCTTTCGAATTGCGTAGGAGCGGCGCGTAAGAACCGGTGCGTCAGACAGACCATCACCGGTTTCGATTTGAACGAAGCGGTCAGTGCAGGCTGACCTGCCCCCCGTAGGGTTGGCTGCGGCGATGACGGAGCAGCGCGCCTGGAGTGACGTCACAATGCCCGCCTTGCTGACGGAGATGCTCTGCTGCTCCATGGCCTCGTGAATGGACACCCTACACCGCAAAGTATCAGTAAGAGCCTGCTCTCCTCGTAGTCAGTTGCCATGCACGTTTTCTTCAGCTGCCATGTCCTACACGACTTCCGCACCCCTTCAGAGAGCCCATTTGACCCCTAAACTCAAACCCGCGGCTTTCGTAACCTAGGCTTCCCGCCGCAAAGGCTATATTTGTGGAGCAATCTATCTTGTCAAGCCTTCGTGAAGACTTGCAACCGCTCTAGAGCTGCCACAGTCAACTCTAGACCCGGACAGAAGTGACGGACAGATTCGCACTAGGCGGGCGCCTTCCACCCTCTTCATGTAGCCAAGCTTCGACGTTCGAAACGTCCCAAGACTCCCACCTGTCGTGGTCGTTCATCTTGTCGAACTCGTCGATGAGGCACATGCCGCGGTCCGCGAGCACGAGCGCGCCGCCCTCGAGCGTCCACTCGCGCGTGATGGGGTCCTTGTGCACGCCCGCCGTCAGCCCCACCGCGGACGCGCCCTTGCCCGTCGTGTACACCGCGCGCTGCGCAGTCTTCTCCACGTACCTGCGGGGAAAAGGGTACGCGATTACTTCTCTTAGGAGAGTTGTCTCGCTTCTTTGTCTCGAGCCTGGCGAGCGACGAAACTTTATCTGTAGTGTCCACCGCGCGCTGCGCCGTCTTCTCCACTTACCCGGGGAAAGACTCCGAGAAGATTAGTATATGAGGAATTTGCGAAGTTTCTGTAAGACGCACGGTTTGCAGCTTCCGCAGACGTCACGGACCTTTGTCGAGCCATCAGTACCAGCTGGGAAAAGGTCACAGTGAAGTCCCTCGGACTTGAGGACTTAAAAAGAGACGCCACATCTACCTCTGAAGAAGCGTTACCTCCGCTGCCCTTCTGCCATGGCGACATCAGTAACGTCCAAAACCCCACTCCAAAACTGCCCAAATATTTAGAAGACAGAGCAGTCAAGGGAAACAATCAGCAAGATCAATGGACGAAGTAATCAGGAGCTAGGGCGACCAAGCGCGGGGGTGGCTCACTTGAGGAACTGGGACTTGGCGGTCCCTGGGTCGCCGAGCAGGAGCATGTTGATGTCCCCCCTGAGGCGGTGCTTGCCGTCCACGTTCTTCTCCTGCCCGCCCAGCATGGCCAGCGCCAGGCCCGTCTTGATGTGCTCGTGACCGAAGATGCTCGGCGCAATCGACTTGATGATCTGCGCAGCAAAACAGCGGAGAATCATAAGGGCAGGCAATGTGTGGACCTAGGCTTGACGAGGTTTGCGACAGCTTTGCTGTAAGAATTCTTGGCACCAATCTTTGCGCGATCCTGTTGTCCCTTTCGACCGGGACGCTCCGACTGGTCCTACGGTGGTGATGCTTTTCCGTGGTTTCGGCGCTGCAGTCCTTGCTTAGCTGCGCACTAGTGGATATGGCAGAGGCGTCTCAATCCACAGCCGAAGAACCATAAGTCGGTTGAACACTGCAGCTAGGATCCGAACCACTTTCGCAGCAACACCGGCCTGTTGTCCAAGACCCCACGCCCAAAACAACGACTCATTTCGGACGCCCCGGACACGTGGCGGCTCACCCGCTGTCCGATGCGCGGGTCTTTGGACAGCTTGAGCACTTCGGCCTTGTCCTCGTCCGTGAGCTTGTAGGCGGAGAAGAGGTCCTCCTTCTTGTGGATGTAGTTGGCCTCGATCAGCGTCGCGAACACGGGGAAGCCGTTCTTGGTGTTGAGCGCGGCGTCGAAGTTGTTGGTGTAAATGCCCGTCACCTCCTAAGCGAAGCAAGGCAGCGTGAGACGGGTCAGCCATCGTTTGAGAAGAGTTTCTAGTGTGACACCTGATGGCTCATCTTAGGGGCCTTCCAGCAACCAGGCGATCTGTGACTGCTTCCGCCCCGTTCCACTTTTTGCCCTGCCTTTAGAGAGAAAAGAGATCCGACAGCAGCCCAAAATCATCTTGAGCTGATTTCACAAGGGTTCGAAGGCGGGGACTGGCGAAGGACAAAAGTTCAATCACATTGCAGAATACATAGCCATTTGAGCCAGGTCGCCAAAAGAGCCTCCAACCATTTTAAGCCGAATCCACAGCAGCCCCAACTAAACAGCGCGACACGACGCCCCAGTCGCAAAAGCCACTCAAGCTAAGCCACGTGGCGGACTGGGAGAAGGCCACGAGAAACTCACAATCTCCTCCCCGGGGCGCGCCTGGTCGATAAGGTCATGCAGGAGGATGACGTCCTTGTAGCGCGGAAGGCGACCCGCGGGGACGGAGCCGGGGCTCTCCTGGAGCGTGATCTTCTGGTAGTTGCGGTAAATGGTCTGCTCCACGTTGATGGCGAAGGGGCCCTTGGACTGGCACTCGGGGCACGACCCGGGCTTCACCTCGTGCGTCGTGTTCTGCGGCAAATCAGACATAGGCAGATTTGGAAAACGTACCCATGGTTGAAAGGTTCACCTTTCGTGTGATGGCTAAGCAGCAAGTTGAGGGGACCATTGCATTCGTGAGTCGACTGGCAGGATACGTTCCAAAGTACCGCCAAGAAGTGGAGGAGAAACTCTGTGGATGTCAAACCGGGCTGTCTCAGGCAGATCGTTCGTTGGAGACAGGTACTCAAGCAACCGCCCTCAGCCAAATCTTGCCTACCATCGTTCACAGCTCACTGTCCACATACGAACGTTGTCACGTATGATATCAAAGTCTGATGCACCTCGCAAGAGAGATAATATAAGAAGGGAGGCCGCCTACCTGGAAGAAGGGCCCGAGCACGAAGCCGCACTTGACGCAGTCGAACTTGACCTGCTGCAGCTGCGGGAAGACGCCCGTGCGCCGGGTCACCACGCCGCCCGTCTTGATTAGGCAGTTGAGGTGGAGCTGCCTGTGGTGGGACACGAAACAAAGGAAGAAAGTGAGTGTTCTGGACTAGATGCATTTAAATGGACGACAGCTGAAGATGCTGCAAGCTCCTGGCCATTGAAGTGGAGCTCCCTGGAGGCGGGGGTAAGGAACGGATAGAAAAAGCGAACATGCAGAGTTGAATGAAATATGTAAATGAAAGTCACAGAGACTGCAATCTTTGGCCGATCAGAAAAAGATGTATAGGTGTGTGCCCATTTCAGGGCCGGCGGGTAGGTAAGAAAAAACGGACCGTCCTAAAGAGGTACGTACATCTTTGGCAAGTTCTCTATCACTGATATTGAGCCTCGATGCACAAAGACAACTTCGATACTCGTTGATCAATCTTCGTTACCTGAGCAAGGAAACGGCACCTCAGTGTGTGTGTGTGTGATTGGGACGCGTTAGTTGGGCCCAATACCAGGGCCGGCACAAAAGTCTCGATGGGAGTTAGGTGTATGTTAACTTAGATTAGTTCCCCGGGCTCAAAAAAACCAAAACCTTAATCCAAAGTTAACATGCTCCGCACCCGTACCCACCCTAAACCCCCAAACGAACCCCAACCGTCCCCGGGGCTTGACCTAATTCAACATAGCCGTAACTCAACAAGAAGCAATATTACTCGCCCGCCCTCCGGCCCTCACCTGATGTCCCGGATGCTGTCCATGATGGGCAGCCCCGCAATGCGCACGTGGATCGTTTCTTTGATGCGGTGGTACTCGGGGTGTAGCTGCAGAATGATGTCCCACGCAGCCTGCCAAACCGCATGCCACAGTGAGAAACCAGCGACCTGGAGACTTGTGGTTCGGACAGTGTTGAACGTTTGAACACTGTAGGTTCGGTGCAAACCTGTCTGGTGTGACTGTAACCCAGTATGAATCATGCAGGTGATCGTCTTTCAAATACTGACAATGAACCACGGACTTTTCACCTGCTTTATTGTTGCTGGTCCAATCAACAGGAGATACAATGCGTGTACCGAAAGCAAGCAGAAAAATCAAACTTGGGCTCCCCTTATAGAGCTCAGCAACTAACAAAACACAGAATAGCACAATAGGAGGTCCCACCTCTGAGAGGATGGCAAACATCTCGGTGGGCGCATCGGCAATCCACATGGCGATCCTGCTGTAGGGGGATCCATCCGGCGAGTTGCCTGGGTCCCACCCGCTGAGGTCACTGTATTCCACCTCCAGAGACTCGCGATTTGCTGCAACAGTAAGGAACGGCTTTCAGGGGAACTTTTCGAAGAGGAGTAATCTCGTGTATGTTTCCTTCCTATAAGCAGCCCCAATACTGCGTTCCGAACATTCCTAACGATTATCTGAAACTAAGTCTCTGCGGGCAACTGGACAGTTGATCAGACCTTTTCTGCTGTGCACTGACTTTCAGAATCGGCTGTTGCCCCATTTCCTGAACGCAGGCGCTTATGTCGGAAATTGAGTTCAAAACGTCTGCTTCCTTATCTTCACAAGCGAAAGCCATTCATCGAGCCCCTTTCTGGGCACCTCGGCGAAACAGATCCCACCTGAAATGATAGCTGAACTTGGCGTATCCAGTCCACCGCACCCAATCAGCCAGTCTTTCCTGCAATCTGCAATATCTAGCAACCCCCAAAAAACCACTTTGCTTTCTCGTCCACTTACCAGCAACAAGGTCCTGGATTCGCTTCTGGTAGCGGTACTCGCGGCTGTCGGGTGCCCGGAAGTTGATGAAGAACGACTTGAGCTTGCGCAGGATGCAGGCGCGCACATTCGCCTGCGTCACGTACTCGCGCAGCAGGCCCGCCATCTCCGCCAACAGATTCACACCCATGTCCCCCTGGATCGAACAGGTTTGAGAGATTTCAGTACACGAGTGATTTCAGTACCCACCATACCAGATCGGCCTGTGATTATGATACTTGCCAGCGTGTTTGCTTGTGGAAGCAGCAGCAGAGGAGGCAGAATATTTTGTCCGCTCAGCTTGATTAGCAAGTACATGCTGAAGGAGACACCTGCTGCTTGCTGAGAGGAGGGTGCTTCCAGTGTGCCTACGTCCACATCGACAACAATCATATTGACGATGGAAACCGGGGGAAAATAGGTGGAGCCCATGTCCTCAAAATGCACACACTTAGAGGGCGCAACGCTTTGTTTGCTAGGCTGCTAAGGGCATGACATTATAAGCATACCAATGGGCAAGAGGACTGATGAAGAGAAGACTGGGAGTGGTACAAAGTGGAACGTACCTCGCTTTCATTTCCAGACTCTGGGTCGATCGTCCCATCATTTGAGCTTGTGTCTACGTCTCCCATGCGCGCACGCTTGTGCCGGGCGAGGTACCCAGGGTCATCAGAGTCATCATCTGTGTAACAGAAGGTGCATTGCATGTTTCATGACTTGGCTCTTCATGAGGATTGAAGCAGAAAAGGACAAGCCAACACCAATCAGGCCCCTTGAGAAGAACAGCTGTGCATGTAACATCGTGTCGTCAAGTATCAAACCGCAGACTTCACACCTGCTATGATATCTGGGAGTCCCCGCCCACGCCTGCCCTGACTGGCCTGCCTCCTGTCCATGTCCCGATCTGCAGCCTCCCTGTCCCGAAAGATCTGTCCCAGGCTGCGGTCGTCCTCCGAGTCGTCCAGCCCCGCTTGCTCGTAGCGATCCAACTCGTCCATTGGCCGGTAATCCCTGAAAACAGATTGGACGGAGGGTTCGATTCGAAAATGTGCAGAGCCGTCTGTTTGAGCTCCGCCCATGTGGGGCAGATACCCTTAAAAAGCATCAACTTACCAAGTTGATGCAGCCTTGATAACACAGGCTTACTATTTTTGCATCCATAAGAATCGTTCCATTAAGCACAGAGTTTGGTGTTGTACCGAACTCCACATTGATGTAGGAATACTCTGGTATACCCGCTCGTTGCTACTTACTGGAACATGTTGTCGTCCATAAGGTCCTCCCCATTGTCATCATCATCATCCTCCTCCGGGGCGTCGCTCTCCAGCCCTCCGCGGCTCTCCTCCGCCTCCGAGTCGCTGTACTCGGACGGGTTCCGCAGCTCGTCGCCATCGCTGCCGCTCTCAGGGTCCAAGGGACCCCGCGAGTTGCTGTGGGCTCCTTCGTTGTCGGACTCCTAGAAGAAGATGCGCGCACACAGAATCAGCTGATAATTATCTGAAGATTTGCGCAACGTGGACAAATCTGTGGCAGTCTCGTCTGTCAACAATGTCAATTGCTGACTGCTGCATTTCGACATTGAGAATGGCAGACAGAGCTCGATAACTTTTGTCAGGTGTCATTGTGTCAGGCAATGATGCGCTGGAACTGTACACCTTACAGGCAACGGCAATGCGGCAACGCGAATAAATCAAGTGAAACAATGTGGTAGTCTTCATGCAAGGCAAATGTCGATGTCAAGGAAGATAATCCTGACGTCAGAATGTAGACTTCACACAAGCAGTACATCAATTGCGTGATGCCTCACCATTTCTCAAAGGACAAGTCCTCCACAACGTAGTGAAATCGGTAAAATACACAGATGCAGGTGGGAGCGCCGCTTGGGTGGCACAAGTGCCGATCGGTTCCACAAAGCACTCAAGGTCAGCGACAGTTGGGCGCCTCGATCGGATGCTCTTCCAACTTTGATGATGCGGTCACTTTTACAGAAGCTGGCGCCGTTCAACCGTAAGGCAGGCTGCTGTTGCACCTGCAGTGCAGTGCAGTGGAGACTGGAAGATTAGTGGACTCCAGCTGCGTTTGTTCTCTTCGCGCCAATATTTGCTGATGTGGCAGAATTCTGTCTTCTGATTCGTTGCAGCCATTGGAGAATCGACAGTCTTTCCCGCCAACAACGTAATCGCAGAAGCAGATTGAAGCCGTCCGATCGAATCGTGCAGCGGCTTTCCGTACTGTACGGTTTGCGGTTCGTCCGGCGCCGCGCGCGGACTCGGAATGATCACATGCAGCAAGCCAAATGAAGTTCGGAGTTAAATTTGGACGAATCACAGCGCGCCACGTCATACCCCCCAGGTACCAAAAGAGTGAAGGTGTCCGGAACGGTCGTACCAGGGGTCGAAACCTGAAGTGGGAGCCGGGTGCGGACCCAAGTGGTCCCAACCCGATCACCGGGCACTCGGAAGCTATGCCAGTGTACTCCTAAGTAGGTTACCTTCTCCTCCGAAAATTCAAGTACAATATTGCAGCTTTTGCGGGTATGGCCTTACATACATATATATCGCCAAATTGATCCAAGAGGGAAAACTCTGTACTGCTAATCTGTTATATGCTCTTCTCCAAAAACTCAATTACAATATTGCATCTTTTCTCAGGCATGGCCTTACATAGATACATATTGGCAATTTGATCCGAGAGGGAAAACTCTGTACTACTAATCTGTTATATTCTCTTCTCCAAAAAGTCAATTACAATACTAA